GGTATGAGGTCTGTGGTACAGTCACACTGGTGTGTGTGGTACACTGCATCATAGTGTGTGGTATGAGGTCTGTGGTACAATCACACTGGTGGGTGTGGTACACTGCATCGTAGTGTGTGGTATGAGGTCTATGGTACAGTCACACAGGTGTGTGTGGTACACTGCATCATAGTGTGTGGTATGAGGTCTGTGGTACAGTCACACTGGTGTGTGTGGTACACTGCATCGTAGTGTGTGGTATGAGGTCTGTGGTACAGTCACACTGGTGTGTGTGGTACACTGCATCGTAGTGTGTGGTATGACGTCTATGGTACAGTCACACAGGTGTGTGTGGTACGCTGCATCGTAGTGTGTGGTATGACGTCTATGGTACAGTCACACAGGTGTGTGTGGTACGCTGCATCGTAGTGTGTGGTATGAGGTCTGTGGTACAGTCACACTGGTGTGTGTGGTACGCTGCATTGTAGTGTGTGGTATGAGGTCTGTGGTACAATCACACTGGTGTGTGTGGTACACTGCATCGTAGTGTGTGGTATGACGTCTGTGGTACAGTCACACTGGTGTGTGTGGTACACTGCATCGTAGTATGTGGTATGAGGTCTGTGGTACAATCACACAGGTGTGTGTGGTACACTGCATCGTAGTGTGTGGTATGAGGTCTGTGGTACAATCACACAGGTGTGTGTGGTACACTGCATCATAGTGTGTGGTATGAGGTCTGTGGTACAATCACACTGGTGGGTGTGGTACACTGCATCGTAGTGTGTGGTGTGAGGTCTGTGGTAGTCACACAGGTGTGTGGGGTACACTGCATCGTAGTGTGTGGTATGACGTCTGTGGTACAGTCACACTGGTGTGTGTGGTACGCTGCATCGTAGTGTGTGGTATGACGTCTGTGGTACAGTCACACTGGTGTGTGTGGTACACTGCATCGTAGTGTGTGGTATGACGTCTGTGGTACAGTCACACTGGTATGTGTGGTACACTGCATCGTAGTATGTGGTATGAGGTCTGTGGTACAATCACACAGGTGTGTGTGGTACACTGCATCGTAGTGTGTGGTATGACGTCTGTGGTACAATCACACAGGTGTGTGTGGTACACTGCATCATAGTGTGTGGTATGAGGTCTGTGGTACAATCACACTGGTGTGTGTGGTACACTGCATCGTAGTGTGTGGTATGAGGTCTGTGGTACAGTCACACAGGTGTGTGTGGTACACTGCATCATAGTGTGTGGTATGAGGTCTGTGGTACAGTCACACAGGTGTGTGTGGTACGCTGCATCGTAGTGTGTGGTATGAGGTCTGTGGTACAGTCACACAGGTGTGTGTGGTACGCTGCATCGTAGTGTGTGGTATGAGGTCTGTGGTACAGTCACACAGGTGTGTGTGGTACACTGCATCATAGTGTGTGGTATGAGGTCTGTGGTACAGTCACACAGGTGTGTGTGGTACGCTGCATCGTAGTGTGTGGTATGAGGTCTGTGGTACAGTCACACAGGTGTGTGTGGTACGCTGCATCGTAGTGTGTGGTATGAGGTCTGTGGTACAGTCACACTGGTGTGTGTGGTACACTGCATCGTAGTGTGTGGTATGAGGTCTGTGGTACAATCACACTGGTGTGTGTGGTACACTGCATCGGAGTGTCTAGTATGACATTACTGTAGGTGACACTGGTGTGTAGCACACTGCTTTGCTGCCTGTGGAACGACGACACTGGTGTGCATGATACACTGGCAGGGACACAGAAAAATTACATCAGGCCTTCCTCCTAACCTTGTTCCCTTTAACTCACACGTGACCTCCTGGATCTGCAAAACAAAGCTCTTTTCCAGTAAACCCACAGGGTGGCATTCCTGACAAAGCTCTACATTCAAATGTCAGCTGATAAACCAGAATAGGTTTTGTTATACTTCCTCCTCGGGACAAAACTTACTGCCCCACACTAATCTATCAGAGAATGTAGCCGCTGTTTACCAACCGAGGGGCTAAAATAAATCCCTCACTTCTGTGCCAATGGCCCCTTCGAGGGGGTGTCCAGGTGCTTTGATGAAAGCTGTCTTCATGGAATTATAGCCCTGGTTTCCTGAAAGGTCATTCCGTCTCCAGCTTCAGTATGAAGTGAGCCTCCTCTATGTCTAGCTTGAAAGATTCAAGCACTGCCTCAAACCATCCTTAACCTCTTGGCATCTGTCCCCTCAGCCAGTCAGCAGCCGGAGGTTTACCAACCACAAACTCTGGAACCAGACACCGACAAGGGCAGGAGTGTCAGGAACCTCAGGCCAGCCACGGCCTAGGAAAGAGAAAACAAAAAAAAATGGCAACGGGGGAGGGGCGGTGAGTGAGAGAAGGGCGCAGACGGCACCACTGGTGGAAGACACAGCGCTGCCCCGCGCCGGCCAACCGCTGTGGCCCTCGGAGGCCGGCACGGACGAGCCCGGGGAGGCCTGCCTGCGATCCACCCTGTGGGCCACACTGTCCACCAGGAGCCACGTGAGCCTTGCAAGGAGTCGGAATGCATTTCCACCCCAAGCACCATCTGCAAACTGACGGTCTTATATTACTGCGGTTTTTTTCCAATTAATTTTTATTGGCGCATAGTTGGTTTAGAGTGTCGTGTTGGTTCCTGCTGTACACAAAGTGAAACAGTGATATGCACACATGCACACATACACATTCTTTTCTTTAAGACTTTTCCCGTAATGGTCAGTACAGAGGACTGAGGAGAGGGCTCTGTGTCCCCAGTAGGTTCTTGTTAGACTACTGTTTTCTTTCCAAACGAGGGTAGATCTGTTGCAGATGATGAAATAGTTCTCATTTGCAAAGGTCTGAGTGGTTGTTTCTTGTCACTGTCCATTTTTTCTAATCATGGACAACGAAAGCACACAATTACCACAGGGGTCTATCAAGTTTTTCTTGTCAAGGGGAGGCTTTAGTTTCAAAAGGTGTAAAGCATCTACAAGCAGGAATTAGTATGTGTGCGCTCACTCACTTAGTCGGGTCCGACTCTTTGCGACCCCATGGACTGCAGCCCACCATGCTCCTCCATCCACGGGATTTACTGGGCGAGAATGCTGGCATGGGTTGCCATTCCCGTCTCCAGGGGGATCTTCCCAACTCAGAGATCAAACCCACATCTCTTATGTCTCCTGCATTGGCAGGCAGGTTCTTTACCCACTCGGGAAGTCCAAGAATTAATATATTTAGGTCCTAAATGTCCACAAAGACAGAACAGGAAAATAAATGACGGTGTAGTGCAGGGCCAATGCGCCGTGGCCCATGGCCTGAGCATGAGTCAAGCTTCACTAGGACACACCATGCGTTTATGTCTGCACGCCGTCTATGACTGCTGTGTCCTACAGCTTGGACAAATGCCCCAAAAGCTTCATTATTTACTAGTTTACAAAAATATTTACAACTTTACAAAAAAAGTTGGCAAATGCATGGTAGAGCATATCCTGAAACACGATGCAGCTATTAAAAAAACAAACTCAACACCAACTCCATCTATGAACAGGGAAAGGGGTTCACGATACAACAGTGAAGATGTTTTATTTCTAACTCTGACTCCCGAGGTGCCCAGCACAGTGGCAACAGGGGTGGGTAGCATCCCTCCCCAACCTCAGGGCCCCAGCTTCTCTGCAAGTCCCCCTTCTTCTGACTTATCCAGGGGTCCCTGAGACCAAAGACTGCTGAGGCCTGAGGAGGGGACACGTCCCCTTCCCACCCCAATCTTAAAAAGGCTAAAAAATACTGTCTGGTAAGGATCGAGGTTAAAGCATGCCCGTTTTGTCCTAGGTCGGTCTCCCTACACAGAGTCCCTGAGCCAAGCAGAGGGCCCCACTGCGGCCGAGCTGTGTAGGGTGGGGCTGGGACCCCCAGGGAGAGCCTGCACGGGGAAGATCCCAGGAACAGTGCTACAAGAGCTGTGCGGGGTGAGCCCCGAACACAAAACTTGACCTCTGATTCCTCCCAACACCCCCATTAAAACAAAGAAAAGCAGCAGGAGAAAGGAGTCAAAATCCCACCACCAACAATGGCCTTCCCTGGTGGCTTAAACGATAAAGAATCTGCCTGTGATGCAGGAGACCCGGGTTCAACCCCTGGGTCAGGAAGATCCCCTGGAGAAGGGAATGGCCACCCACTCCAGTGTTCTTGCCTGGAGAATCCCGCGGACAGGGGAGCCTGGTGGGCTGCAGCCCACGGGGTCTCACAGAGTCAGACATGAGGGAGGGACCGACAAAGAATGGTGAGGGGAGGACACCGGCTGAGCAGAGATTCAAACACATTCCGGAAAAAACTGTAAACAGAGGGAAGACTGGAGAGGGGGAGGGGAGGGGGAGAAGGTTGGGGGGAGGGGAGCAACCCGTGCTGGCTCCTCCACCCCACCGCTGGGTGGGAGCACAGGGAACCACCTCCCCATCCCAATCCAACAACCTCATTTTCAGATGTTCAATCAAGGGTGAAAAATTCAAAGTGAGTCACTCCAGCTCAGGGCAGCCGAGTCCCGGGATGGCTGTAGCTTGCCCACAAGCCCACTTCAAAAGCCAGAATGCTTGGGGGGTGGTGCGGGGCTCTGAGCATAAAGCAGCACAGCCTCTTGTTACCACACACAGAGCCCTGGGCTGACCCTGGCTCCGTCCCAACCTCCCCTCCCCATTCCAGGTCGCACTTTGCTCAGCCATCTTCCTCCAGGACTGACCTCGAGTCACCCCAAGGGCATCAGAAGGGCCACTGGGACAGACAGCACAACCCCCTCACTGACCATTTCAGGGCCTCCCGGAATCATCCAGCACCTGCTGAGTGCCTCCATGTCCCCAAGCAGCCACTTCCCCCCACAGACAGACAGAAGCATAGGGATAGGACTGAGCAGATAACTGTTTAATAGAAACTCTTCGTTGACTCTCAGTGAGTCCATATAAAATAAACCTGAGTTAAAAAAAGTTTAAAGAAGTCACACCCACCAGAGGAGGTGACCTTATGCACGTGGTGAAGTGTGTTATGTAAAAGCTGTTTGCAAGGTGATCAGGACCTTGGCAGAGGCCTGGAGAATCTTCAACTCTTCGGTCCGCAGTGTTTCTACCAAAGTCAATTGGTTCATCAAAGCCACTTCTTCATCCTTCATGCGAGAAACCTAGAAGTTATTTTTAAATGTTTTTTTTAGTGTAGTAAAATACACGTAAGATTTAAGACCCTGATCAGTTTTAAATGCACGATTCAGTGACAGTAAGTACATTCACAGTATTGTAAAACCACAGCCACCATCCATCACCAGGACTTTTTCATCTTCCCAAACAGAAACCGCACCCATTAAACATTAACTCCCCACCTCCCCCTCCCCAAATCCCTGGGAACCACTAGTCTGCTTTCTGTCTCCATAAATTCTGGAATACCAGATCTCTCATTTAATTGGAATCATACAGTATCTGTCTTTTCATGTCCTGGTTTATTTCACACAACACAATGTCTCCAAGGTTCAATAAAATCATTTTTTAATCCCAGTAATGTTTTCATTCAAATGCGCTGATCCCTCATTTAATTAAAACATTCACCACACAAAGGGGAAAAGAGTACCTTAAAAATCTGTGAAAAAGAATTCATGCACTAATTTACCTACTAAAAGCTATGTGTGTGCTGTGTGCAAAGTCGCTCAGTTGTGTCCGACTCTGTGACCCCCATGGACTGCAGCCTGCCAGGCTCGTCTGTCCATGGGATTCTCCAGGCAAGAATACGGGAGTGGGTTGCCAGGCCCTCCTCCAGGGGATCTTCCCCACCCAAGGGTTGAACCCTTGTCTCTTACATCTCCTGCACTGGCAGGTAGGTTCTTTACCACTAGCGCCACCTGGGAAGACCACTAAACGGTATAAACACATGTAAATAATCAAAAACACAGATTACATCAGCGTTTATTTACTAAGGCATTAACAGCACCCCAATAAGGTGGACTATTCCTATCCAACAAGTTACAAAACAACTTCTCAATCAAAACACTTAAGAATGAGGTATTCCTGAATAATACCTTTTGAAGCACAGCATTAGTCTCCTCTATGAAATAACGGCATATTTTCTGGGCTACGTCCAAACTTGTCTCCTCATTTGTATCAGAAATTATTTCCCCAAGAAGTACTTTTTTCCAGCATGTACTAGAACCAAAAATGTTCAAGGTCATTTCAGGAAGTTCTCAAAAATAAAGACTTTTCCACTTCAACACAACACTTGTCCTATTTTTCCAAAAACATAATAAAACTCATCCCATCAGCACAATCCCTCAAACCTCCTGCCAATGTGCAGGTCCTGAGTTGAAGCAGACACAGTAGACAAGAAACAAGGAATCCTGAGGATCAGAAGCAAGAAGCTGAGTTTTACTAGCATCACAGTCCTTTGGCTCACGAGTAAGCGGAGCCACATCCACCTGCCACAGGGAGAGAACAGAGGACAGATTAAGAAGGTGAGTCCAGAGCCAGAGGACCACAAACTAAGGAGCAAAGGCACGGAGGGGGGGGGTTATTTTCTTCAAATGACAGCATCTCCTGTCACTGAAAAAAAAAAAGACAACAAACTCAACACACGACGTGTTTCACCAAGTAAAATGCTCAACAGATGGAAAAGAGGAATCTACCATGAAGTCTTTTTCACCATGCAGGTCATGCCAATTTTATACTAAGAAAGTCTGTAGGAAATGGGGCTTGGTGGCTGGTGGGGACACAACTTTCTGCAGGCAGAACAGTGCTGCTGTGCCTGGGTAGGCAAGACACGGAGCAGGAGGCGGCCAGGCCAAAATCGACATGCCGGGAAGAAGCACAAAGAGGGAGGAAGCGGAGTGGACAGGTTCCGGATGCAGAGAACATGGATGTGGACGCGGCCGAGGAAGAAGAGACAGGTGAGGGCTGCACCTTTTGAGTGCAGGGCACAGAAGTTGCTGAGAAATTCCCCACAGCCAAGTCACGCAGATATAAAGTCTCAGATGTCTTTAGCTTTAGAGACGATGGTGGCAACCTCAGGAGCCGACAGGTTCTTAGGAAAAGAGGGAGGAGAGGGAGGAAGGGAGGCAGAAAGGACATTGTTAAGTGCTGGGCACAGCGTTTCCTATGCAACTGCTATCTGTCTTAACCCTCATGACTGCCCAGCAAAGAAAGCATTATTATCCCCATCTTTTAGACACAAACTGAGAATCCAGAACAGTAAGGAACTGAGCCTAAAGTGACAGAGCTAATGAGAGGCAGAAATAAGTGTGCAAACACCAGTCAGGCAGAATCCCAAATGCACGCTTCCTCTGCCACACCGCTCCAGTCAGTCAGAAAGAACTCCAAGAGACGGCTTCCCTGGTCGTCCAGGGGTTAAGAATCCTCCTGCCAATGCAGGGGACACAGGTTCGATCCCGGGGCTGGGAAGATCCCACGTGCCTCCAAGCAGCTATGCCTATGTACCACAACTACTAAGCCCATGCTCTAGCGCCTGAGTCACAACTGCTGAGACGGTGCACCGCAACTATACAAGCCCGAGGGCCCCAGAACCCGGGCTCTGCAACAAGCAGCCTGCCCAATGAGAAGTCCACGCACCGCAACCAGAGAGAGCAACCCCAGCTCTCCTCAACGAGAGAAGGCCCTCCTGCCGCAATGAAGACCCAGAACAGCCAGGAATTAAATAAACAAAAATTTTTAGGGGGGGGGGAGGACTCCAAGGGAAGGAAAGAGCCCTCCGCAGGACCCCTGAGAAACACCCAGTTGCTTTTTTTAAATCCGAGGTTGACATGTCTTGAAAAACCACTCGTATCCTTTTCCAAGGAAGATGCAAAGAAACTTACGTAGTGGGTACATATGAAATAAAATGAAACGGAAGACGAATGGATGGGGAAAACAAGACAAATGAAAGACGTGGGAAGGAAAGATGAGAAGGCGAGTCAGGAATGAGTCGGTGATGACCCGCATGCCTTAAAATCCGGCACACTACCACGGATCACTGATTTGCCTGAGTTTTCTAGCAAGCAACAAGACGAAGGCAGTGTGTCGGATACAGAACTCAGCGTCTACTGAGAAGAAAAACACAGTTTCTGGTGTGGAGACCCGGAGGGGGTGGTTTTTCTCCCCCAGATTCCCTAGGGAAACGTAGGCAACGTCACAGGCGTGACCGGAAGGAGCGCCAGCTGCTTCCGGGTTCCGACCTGAGGGCTCGTCTCGGCGCCAAGGCACCGAATCGTTCCCACAGCTCGAGGACGGGTTCCGCCCGCTCCAGGAAGTCCCCCCCCCCGCCCCGGGCGGTTTCTCTCACCTGAGCTTCTGCTGAGTAGCGGGCATTACTCCTCCCCGACTTCCTCGCAAGGGGGCTCCGGGGCGCACAGCGCGGGCCTCTGACTACGCTTCCCACGCTAAGGGGAGGACCAGCAGCCTCCCAGGAGTGCTGAGGACCCGACCGGGACGCGCGTCTCCAGCGGGGGCTCCGCTACCTCCCTGCCCTTCGGAGACACCCAGGGCTCTCCTCAGCGCGGGTCAGGGTCTGCCCTCAAGATGGAACCGGGCGGGGCCCGTGCTCAGGAGCCCTGTCAGCTTCTGGGGGAAAACCCACCTACTCAAGAGATTTTCCTGTGCCCAGCGTCAGTGCGCACACTTTCTTAAGTGTACAGCCTGAACAGCTAACTGCAGGTCATCCGGGGTGGGGGGGGGGGGGGGGGGTGAATATCTGTAGAGAGACCACTTCTCAGGACTGTGCACTCAGATTATGACTCTAAAACCAGACACTTCCAGAAACCGTAGAAAGCTAGACATTCCCCACGCGGGGCAAGTTACACAAAGAATGTGCATGCTAAGTCGCTTCAGTTGTGTCTGACTCTTTGCAATCCCATGGGCTGTAGCCCACCAGGCTCCTCGGCCCATGGTATTCTCCAGGCAAGAACACTGGAGTGGGCTGTCATGCCCTCCTCCAGGGGATCTTCCGGAGCCAGGGATTGAACCCACGTCTCATGATCTCCTGCATTGGCAGGCGGGCTCTTTACCACTAGTGCCACCTGGGAAGCCCACACGAAGAATAAGCAGCCCCAGTATACAAGGGCGTTTCTTTCTCCTCTGAAACAAGGCGTTTGAGTGTCGGCCAAAACAAAAGCCAAAGTTATGTCCAAATTGTAGTGGCAGCTGGTGACCAACAGACAGGGTACTTAACAATTCTTCAGCTTCCAGACATAACAATTTAAGAGCTGTGAGCAACCGCCAAGACGGTCCATCCCATCCAAAGGTCAGATTCCTAAAGCAGAAAAAGGACAGGTTATGTATCAATCACTGAATCTCTGTGTCCTGCACATGAAACTAACACAACAATGTAAATCAACTACACTCCCATACAAAATAAAAATTAATTTTAAAAAACGACAAATCCGTCATTGTGACACTTCATTACATCCCAGTAAATGGCTCAAGGGCCACACATTTTTTTAAAGGGGCCATTAAACATGGTGCAGCCCACAGTCTTAGTCACAAAGACAAAAGAGAAAAGTGGGTCTGCCAATACTTAACTAGAAAGCTCTTTCGATATGGTAAGAAGCTGAAGCTAGATGAGGAGACCCCAGTGAGAAAGATGAAGAAAAGTCTGGGTTATCCTGAGGATCAAACCAACAGTGGCATCACAGCTAGCTTGGGCCTCACTCTACTGCTGGACTATTGAGAACTCAGTTTTATCTAAAGAAAATCTGCAAGGCTGGGGTGGAGGGGGGTCGTCTCAAACCCAGTTTATCCCATTTGGTGCGGAATCACCTCAGCACCTCCCATCCCAAGAGCCTGCATGCAGTTGCTGGGTAGCTGACGGCCAGGCTGGCTTGCAGGAGTGATGCCACACTGCCTGACTGCATGTCAGCAACAAGCACACAGGACCACCAGTCAGTACATACAATCATTTAAGACGTCAAGTCCCTATCTCAGGTCCCCAGAAAAGTCCCTTGTCAAGTATCTTCCCCTCGTTGTATGCCCCACCACACATCAAGCACAGTGTACTATATACAGTAAACGCTCAATAAATAGCTACCTGTCACCAGATCTGAGCCAGGAGGCCTCTCACACCTTTCAAAACCTGAACTCTCAATTTTTCATCAAGACTTCCTAAAGGAAAAACTTCGAGAGAAACACTTACTCTATAAAGTCATGATCCTCCAAAATGGAAATCTTTTTGTTCATCTGTTTATCAGTGGATGGAAGATATTTAACAAGCATATCTGCATTTAAAAAAAAAAAAAATCAGGCTGAGATGTAGAGCATAAAATCCAGGCAAAAAGGGAGACCCTTCTCAACTTACTTTCCATCCCATCAGCAATTAAGACACATGTAAACAATTTTACCTCACATCAAAAAAAAAAAAAAATCTAGTCTTTTGGTCCAACTCAATGAGGTCAGGACTTAGCCCTTGAAAGGCTGCAAGAATTACTAGACAGCAGACAAAACATCCACTACCTCAGCTTCTGCTCCCACAAAGCAAATCAACCCACAAAATCGGGGAATAAAGACATGACAGGACCAGTGGGAAGCCACACCCACTGAAGTACAGGCTCCAGACAATCATGAGGAAATGTTTCCAGGCTTCAGGTTTTTAAAAGTCAGAATTCAAAACTATCTGGAGATTTACAACCATTTTAACTTTTAAGATGTGTTATAGGGAAGGAGCCAAGATGGCGGAGGAATAGGACGGGGAGACCACTTTCTCTCCTACAAATTCATCGAAAGAACATTTGAATGCTGAGCAAATTTCACAAAACAACTTCTGATCGCTAGCAGAGGACATCAGGAGCCCAGAAAAGCAGCCCATTGTCTTCGAAGGGAGGTAGGACAAAATATAAAAGATAAAAAGGGAGTCAAAAGAGCTACGGACGGAGACCCGTCCCGGGAAGGGAGTCTTAATAGAGGAAGTTTCCAATCACCAGGAAACCCGCGCACTGGCGGGACTCGGGGAAGTTTTCGGCAATCTAACTGGGAGGAAAAATTAAACAAGGCCCACAGATTACGTGCCTAAAAGCAACTCCCAGCAGAAAAGTACCCCAGACGCCCGTACCCGCCAGCAACAAGCGGGGGCGGAACGGAGAGGAGCGGGCGGCATTGCTTAGGGTAAGGACCGGCCCGAAGACCCTGAGAGCAATCGGAGGGAGCTTTTTTAAACTGTGGGATAGCAAGGGTCAAAATTAACAGGCCCGAACACACTGCCGGCGGTTCGCAAAACAAAGGGACTGAGAAAGTCCAGAGAAGAGCCGGCCCATCCCCGCTGGAGGTTGGAGGCAGGGGGTAGGGGAAAAGGGCAAACTCAGCCCCTGAGAAGCCACCCCCTCCCACACTGCAAACAGGCCCCCGGTTCCTATCTAAAGACTTCCTGAGACCCGACTGGCGGTGCGCGCTGGGGCCGCGGAGGGAAAAAGCGTGCCTTACCGGGGAGAGTGCGCCCAAGCCTCTGGCTGCCTGAGCTGCCCGCCGCGGAGGGAAAAGGCGCGCCACACCCAGGGAGAGTACGCCCAAGCCTCTGGCTGCCTGAGCTGCTCGCCGCGGAGGGAAAAGGCGCGCCGCATCCGGGGAGAGTGCGCCCAAGCCTCTGGCTGCCTGAGCCGCTCGACGCACTGACACCCGTGAGCGGGGCAAACCCAGTGTGGCCGGAACACGGTGAGTGCTGTCCACACAGAGCGGTATCTGTCTGCAGCGCCCCGCCCTCCCCGTAGCAGGACTGAACTGGACTAGAGAACCTAAATAAGAGATCACCTCCACCCGCCTGCGTCAGGGCGGAAATTAGACACCAAAGAGACGGCAAACAGAAGCCAAATAAACAAAGGGAACCGCTTCAGAAAGGACTGGTGCAACAGATTAAAATCCCTGAAGGTAACACCGACTACACCGGAAGGGGCCTACAGATATCGAGAAGTGTAAGCTGGAAAGAGGAGCTATCTGAAATTGAACTGAACCTACGCTGACTGCAACAACTCCAGAGAAATTCCTAGATATATATATATTTTTTTTTAATTTAAAAAAAAATTTTTTTTTCTCTCCTTTTTATTTTTTTTTATTTTTTCTCTTTTATCTGCTTTTAAAATTCCCTATTACTCCCCCGTTACTCCTCAACTTTCATTTTCATATATTTTTACGATTTTTTTAATTAGAGAAAAAAAATTTTTTTTTTCTTGTTTTTCTCTATTTCCTTTTACAGTCCTCTAATACTCCTCTATTATTCCTTAATTTTTTCATTTCACTATAACCTTGCCAAAAAAAAAAAACGAGAGAGAGAGAGAAACCCTATTTTTAAATCGAACTTCATATACATTTCTAAATTTTTTTGTGTGTTTTTGTTTTTAAATATTGTATTTCAAATGGTCTAACCTCTACACTAGATTTTTAATCTTTGTTTTTCAGTAGTATGTGATATAAATTTTGGTCATTTAAGAATCCAATATTCAGTTCCCATTTCTATTCAGGAGTGTGGTGATTACTCTCCCACTTTTGACTCTCTGTTTTCTACCTCAGAACACCTCTATTTCCTCCTTTCCCCTTCTCTTCCCAATCCAACTCTGTGAATCTTTGTGGGTGTCTGGGCTACGGAGAACACTCTGGGAACAGATAACTGCGTAGATCTGTCTCTCTCCTCTTGAGTCCCCTTTTTCTCCTCGTGCTCATCTCTTATCTCCTTCCTCCCTCTCCTATTCTTCATGTAACTCTGTGAACCTCTCTGGTTGTCTCTCACAGTGGAGAATCTTTTCACCATTAACCTAGAAGTTTTATTATCAGTGCTGTATAGTTGGAGAAGTCTTGAGACTACTGGAAGAATAAAACTGAAATCCAGAGGCAGGAGACTTAAGCCCAAATCTTGAGAAAACCAGAAAACTCCTGACTACACGGAACATTAAGGAATAAGAGACCATCCAAAAGCTTCCATACCTACACCAAAACCAACCACCACCCAAGAGCCAATAAGCTCCAGTACAAGACATACCATGCAAATTCTTTAGCAATGCAGAAACATAGACCTGAATGTCAACATACAGGCTCTCCAAAGTCACACCTAACACATAGATCCATCGCAAAACTCATTACTGGACACTGCATTGCACTCCAGAGAGAAGAAATCCAATTCCAAGCACCAGATCGCTGACACAAGATTCCCTAACCAGGAAACCTTGACAAACCAATCGTCCAACCCCACCCACTGGGTGAAACCTCCACAATAAAAAGGAACCTCAGACCACAAGAATACAGAAAGCCCACTCCAGACACAGCAATCTAAACACGATGAAAAGGCAGAGAAATACCCAACAGGTAAAGGAACATGAAAAAAGCCCACCAAGTCAAACAAAAGAGAAGGAAATAGGGAATCTACCTGAAAAAGAATTTAGAATAATGATAATAAAAATGATCCAAAATCTTGAAAACAAAATGGAGTTACAAATAAATAGCCTGGAGACAAAGATTGAGAAGATGCAAGAAATGTTTAACAAGGACCTAGAAGAAATTAAAAAAAGTCAATTAAAAATTAATAATGAAATAAATGAGATCAAAAACACTCTGGAGGGAACCATGAGTAGAATAACAGAGACAGAAGATAGGATAAGTGAGTTAGAAGATAAAATGGTGGAAATAAATGAAGCAGAGAGGAAAAAAGAAAAAAGAATCAAAAGAAATGAGGACAACCTCAGGGACCTCTGGGACAATGTGAAACGCCCCAACATTCGAATCATAGGAGTCCCAGAAGAAGAAGACAAAAAGAAAGGCCATGAGAAGATACTCGAGGAGATAATAGCTGAAAACTTCCCTAAAATGGGGAAGGAAATAGCCACCCAAGTCCAAGAAACCCAGAGAGTCCCAAACAGGATAAACCCAAGGCGAAACACCCCAAGACACATATTAATCAAATTAACAAAGATCAAACACAAAGAACAAATATTAAAAGCAGCAAGGGAGAAACAACAAATAACACACAAAGGAATTCCCATAAGGATAACAGCTGATCTATCAATAGAAACCCTTCAGGCCAGAAGGGAATGGCAGGACATACTTAGAGTAATGAAAGAGAATAACCTACAACCTAGATTACTCTACCCAGCAAGGATCTCATTCAGATATGAAGGAGAACTCAAAAGCTTTACAGACAAGCAAAAGCTGAGAGAATTCAGCACCACCAAACCAGCTCTTCAACAAATACTAAAGGATCTTCTCTAGACAGGAAACACAGAAAGGTGGTATAAACGTGAACCCCAAACAACAAAATAAATGGCAACGGGACCATACCTATCAATAATTACCTTAAATGTAAATGGGTTGAATGCCCCAACCAAAAGACAAAGGCTGGCTGAATGGATACAAAAACAAGACCCCTATATATGCTGTCTACAAGAGACCCACCTCAAAGCAAGGGACACATACAGACTAAAAGTGAAGGGCTGGAAAAAAATATTCCACACAAACGGAGACCAAAAGAAAGCAGGAGTCGCAATACTCATATCAGATAAAATAGACTTTCAAATAAAGACTGTGAAAAGAGACAAAGATGGACACTACATAATGATCAAAGGATCAATCCAAGAAGAAGATATAACAATTATAAATATATATGCACCCAACATAGGAGCACCGCAATATGTAAGGCAAACGCTAACGAGTATGAAAGAGGAAATTAATAGTAACACAATAATAGTAGGAGACTTTAATACCCCACTCACAACTATGGATAGATCAACTAAACAGAAAATGAACAAGGAAGCACAAACTTTAAAGGACACAATGGACCAGCTAGACCTAATTGACATCTATAGGACGTTTCACCCCAAAACAATCAACTTCACCTTTTTCTCAAGTGCACACGGAACCTTCTCCAGAACAGATCACATCCTGGGCCATAAATCTAGTCTTGGTAAATTCAAAAAGATTGAAATCATTCCAGTCATCTTTTCTGACCACAGTGCAGTAAGATTAGATCTTAATTACAGGAAAAAAATTATTAAAAATTCAAACATATGGAGGCTAAACAACACGCTTCTGAATAACCAACAAATCATAGAAGAAATCAAAAAAGAAATAAAAATATGCATAGGAATGAATGAAAATGAAAACACAACAACCCAAAACCTATGGGACACTGTAAAAGCAGTGCTAAGGGGAAGATTCATAGCATTACAGGCCTACCTCAAGAAACAAGAAAAAAGTCAAATAAATAACCTAACTCTACACCTAAAGCAACTAGAGAAGGAAGAAATGAAGAACCCCAGGGTTAGTAGAAGGAAAGAAATCTTAAAAATTAGGGCAGAAATAAATGCAAAAGAAACTAAAGAGATCATAGCAAAAATTAACAAAGCTAAAAGCTGGTTTTTTGAAAAAATAAACAAAATTGACAAACCATTAGCGAGACTCATTAAGAAACAAAGGGAGAAGAACCAAATTAACAAAATTAGAAACGAAAATGGAGAGATCACAACAGACAACACTGAAATACAAAGGATCATAAGAGACTACTACCAGCAGCTCTATGCCAATAAAATGGACAACTTGGAAGAAATGGACAAGTTCTTAGAGAAGTATAACTTTCCAAAACTGAACCAGGAAGAAATAGAAGATCTTAACAAAACCATCACAAGCAAGGACATCGAAACTGTAATCAGAAATCTTCCAGCAAACAAAAGCCCAGGACCAGATGGCTTCACAGCTGAATTCTACCAATAATTTAGAGAAGAGCTAACACCTATCTTACTCAAACTCTTCCAGAAAATTGCAGAAGAAGGTAAACTTCCAAACTCATTCTATGAGGCCACCATCACCCTAATTCCAAAACCAGACAAAGATGCCACAAAAAAAACTACAGGCCAATATCACTGATGAACATAGATGCAAAAATCCTTAACAAAATTCTAGCAAACAGAATCCAACAACATATTAAAAAAATCATACATCATGACCAAGTGGGCTTTATCCCAGGAATGCAAGGATTCTTTAATATCCGCAAATCAATCAGTGTAATACACCACATTAACAAATTGAAAGATAAAAACCATATGATTATCTCAATAGATGCAGAAAAAGCCTTTGATAAAATTCAACATACATTTATGATTAAAACTCTCCAGAAAGCAGGAATAGAAGGAACATACCTCAACATAATAAAAGCTATATATGACAAGCCCACAGCAAGCATCACCCTCAATGGTGAAAAATTGAAAGCATTTCCCCTGAAATCAGGAACAAGACAAGGGTGCCCACTCTCACCACTACTATTCAACATAGTTTTGGAAGTTTTGGCCACAGCAATCAGGGCAGAAAAAGAAATAAAAGGAATCCAGATAGGAAAAGAAGAAGTGAAACTCTGTTTGCAGATGACATGATCCTCTACATAGAAAATCCTAAAGACTCTACCAGAAAATTACTAGAGATAATCAACGAATACAGTAAAGTTGCAGGATATAAAATTAACACACAGAAATCTCTTGCATTCCTATACACTAACAATAAGAAAACAGAGAAATTAAGGAAACAATACCATTCATCACTGCAACAAAAAGAATAAAATACTTAGGAGTATGTCTACCTAAAGAAACAAAAGACCTATACATAGAAAACTATAAAACACTGATGAAAGAAATCAAAGAGGACACAAACAGATGGAGAAATATACCGTGTTCATGGATTGGAAGAATCAATATTGTCAAAATGGCTATACTACCCAAAGCAATCTATAGATTCAATGCAATCCCTATCAAGCTACCAACGATATTTTTCACAGAACTAGAACGAATAATTTCACAATTTGTATGGAAATACAGAAAACCTCGAATAGCCAAAGTAATCCTGAGAAAGAAGAATGGAACTGGAGGAATCAATCTGCCTGACTTCAGACTCTACTACAAAGCCACAGTCATCAAGACAGTATGGTACTGGCACAAAGACAGAAATATAGATCAATGGAACAGAATAGAAAGCCCAGAGATAAATCCACGAACCTATGGTCACCTTATCATCGACAAAGGAGGCAAGGATATACAATGGAAAAAAGACAACCTCTTTAACAAGTGGTGCTGGGAAAACTGGTCAACCACCTGTAAAAGAATGAAACTAGAACACTTTCTAACACCATACACAAAAATAAACTCAAAATGGGTTAAAGATCTAAATGTAAGACCAGAAACTATAAAACTCCTAGAGGAGAACATAGGCAAAACACTCTCTGACATAAATCACAGCAGGCCCCTCTATGACCCACATCCCAGAATTTTAGAAATAAAAGCAAAAATAAACAAATGGGACCTAATGAAACTTAAAAGCTTTTGCACAACAAAGGAAACTATAAGCAAGGTGAAAAGACAGCCCTCAGATTGGGAGAAAATAATAGCAAACGAAGCAACAGACAAAGGATTAATCTCAAAAATATACAAGCAACTCCTCCAGCTCAACTCCAGAAAAATAAATGACCCAATCAAAAAATGGGCCAAAGAACTAAACAGACATTTCTCCAAGGAAGACATACAGATAGCTAACAAACACATGAAAAGATGCTCAACATCACTCATTATCAGAGAAATGCAAATCAAAACCACAATGAGGTACCATTACACACCAGTCAGGATGGCTGCTATCCAAAAGTCTACAAGCAATAAATGCTGGAGAGGGTGTGGAGAAAAGGGAACCCTCTTACACTGTTGGTGGGAATGCAAATTAGTACAGCCACTATGGAAAACTGTGGAGATTTCTTAAAAAGCTGGAAATAGAACTGCCATATGACCCAGCAATCCCACTTCTGGGCATACACACCGAGGAAACCAGATCTGAAAGAGACACGTGCACCCCAGTGTTCATCGCAGCACTGTTTATAATAGCCAGGACATGGAAGCAACCTAGATGCCCATCAGCAGACCAATGGATGAGGAAGCTGTGGTACATATACACCATGGAATATTACTCAGCCATTAAAAAGAATTCATTTGAATCAGTTCTAATGAGATGGATGAAACTGGAGCCCATTATACAGAGCGAAGTAAGCCAGAAAGATAAAGACCATTACAGTATACTAACACATATATATGGAATTTAGAAAGATGGTAACGATAACCCTATATGCAAAACAGAAAAAGAGACTCAGATGTATAGAACAGACTTGTGGACTCTGGGAGAAGGCGAGGGTGGGATGTTTCAAGAGAACAGCATCGAAACACGTATATTATCTAGGGTGAAACAGATCACCAGCCCAGGTTGGGTGCATGAGACAAGTGCTCGGGCCTGGTGCACTGGGAAGACCCAGAGGGATTGGGTGGAGAGGGAGGTGGGAGGGGGGACCGGGATGGGGAATACATGTAAATCCATGGCTAATTCATCTCAATGTATGACAAAAACCACTGCAATGATGTAATTAGCCTCCAACTAAGAAAAATAAATGAAAAAAAAAATAAAATAAAATAAAATAAATAAATAAATAAAATTTTTAAAAAACTATCTGGATATTAGTGATTGCAATCACCAAACAACTAAAAATGATGATGTGAAAATTAACAAAGCTTTTTGGGGTAATAGGATAATGAAGGATTTTTCTATTTTTTATAAAAATTTTTTATTTCTTTTCCTTACATGAAAAAATAAAGTGAATTTTGTTCAAAATATTTGACAAATCGATACTGCATGGTCATCAATATTAAAAGTTATTCTGATAATACAATGCTAGTCTCAAAGCTAGCTTTCTAAGAGACCCAGCCAAGACCCAGTTTTTGCTGTCCTATTTCATTTTGAAAAACACTTTATTACCCTAGCTAGAGGATGGAGTGGTAGCACTTTGACCAAGTTTCTATTTCCACTGAACTTATATTAAAATTACTTCAAATTATACACTCGGTAAAGCCTCAGCCATTTCTTCAACGTCTAGAAAACTGCTTCTCTGCTGCTTTAAGAGAAGGGGGAATAAATCAGCCTTCCATGTATTATTTTTAATACTATATTTGGAATTTTTACAACTTTAATATGTAAAGTATTTTTAAAATATGATGACAATGATGCTAAGTAACAACACAAATGGAATCCATTTTTTATCACAGCCTTAAACCCCTTCAAACAAGGGTTGTGTGTAACATTTATCCTGTGATTGGTGCAGTGTGATTACACACATGGGTATTTCATGAGTCCTTTTTACTTGGAACTCTCTAATCCTGCACTTTATTTTTTACAGTGCTCCCATTCTTTCTTCAACATTCATTTATTTATTGAGCTGCACCAGGTCTTGGTTGCGGCCCACAGCATCTTCGTTGTGTCATGCGGGGTCTTTAGGTGTGGCGTGTAGGCTTAGTTGTCCTGCAGCAGGTGGGATCTTAGTTCCCCAATCAGGGATCAAACCTGTGTCCCCGGCATCGCAAGGCAAGTTCTTAGCCACTGGATCATCACGGCAGTCAAGCCCCCCACTGCTCTATCTTTAGTGACAACATCTCAGTACAAAATTTCCATTTCTTGTCATCTATATTTCCCTAGGAGTTTTCCTTTGTTTTCATTCTACTGTCCAACCTAATGCAATAAAACTTTTCTTAGTTCTTAACTTCAATATGGATCAAAACTATGTTGCTTTTACTTCAACACTGAAATGACATGGTCAATAAGAATTAGGATAGCCCTACCTAGGAGAAAGTAACTGATACACATCTTAAGGTTTTATCATTTTTATAAAAAAAGAACCAGATTGGCAGCAGGAAATCCAATTATCTTAGTGATGAGAACCAAAGTCAGTTCCAACCTTTTGAGACATAAACACAAGCATGAGGATTGCGGATGGAGACAAATCCGTACTCCAGGAGCAGGCGGTGGTTATCGTGGGGGCCATAGCAGATGAAAACCTCCTTGTGTCTGCCACAGCGTGTAGCCGTTCTAATTTCGTAACAGCGAGTTTCCTCATTAAATGCTGCCTTTACCTACAAGAAAAAACAAAGTGTAAAACATATTTCTTAAAGCAAAGCAGAAAACCAGAAAGATTAACTGATCATATTCATTTAAGCAAGATGCAGCTTTCAAGTCCTCAGCACGGAATTTATTCACATGGAGAAAAAAATGCCACATCTGCATTTCTTTGGTTTGCCTCAATCTCACTCCACTGGGGATATAGTCATCTCCTTTAGGAGAGGGCAGAAGCCTGGGGAAGAAGAGGTCTCTAGCTGACTTCCAAACCGGGATCCCGTCATGATTTCCCACAAGTATCCATCCAGTCAGAAACTGCTGGCTGAACACCTCCTCCGGGCCAGGCTCTGTGCTGAGCACCGAGGTTACACCAAGTGCAAGGTAAAAGCCCTGTCTTCTCAGGCCGCAGAGCTCCGAGGGAAAGGAGCGAGACCCTCAGCGATCACAGCTAAACCCTGAGAGCCATGCCACCAAGTGTGGAAGGGAAAGAGACAGGAAAGCAAGTGAGGCTTTGGTCCGAGGTCTGAAAGGATGGGGAGCTGCTGGCTCAGACCCTCCAGGGGACACAGCACCAGACTCTGCAGGCCTGGAGAACAGAGTCGGGAACTGAAGCAAAGCAAAAGGATGCTTGGAGGGGGAGACAGGGTCAGGAGGAAGGACAGGAGCCTACCTGACCTGACGGCAGGGAGGCTGACCAGCTGCACCGTTCCCTGGGCTCTGCTCACTCCTCCGGTCGCAGGTTCTACATGGCCCCGCTGAAACCGAACCCGGTCCCCCGGGGGATGTCTCACCTGGACGTCGGGGCTGTGGTTCAGCAGATCCAGGTAGGGGGCAAGTGCGCAGGTGTCTGGCTCTGGGGAAAGGCACAGCCGCGGCGGGCACTTCATGTACACAGCCCTGGTGTTGACGGTGCACCAGGCCCACCGCATAGCGCAGTAGCTAAAGATGCTCTCAACGGCCTCAGAAAACAGAGGCTGCAGGGAGGAGAAAAAGCCTCGAGAAGAAGAAAAGAACTCCCACACATGGCTTCTCTGCTCCCAGGCCTTTGCTTTCAAAGGGCTAGGGAGAAGATCCACCACTTCCGGCTCCAAACAAACTGGGCAGGTGTAGGCCTTTGGTAAAACCTCCAGGTAAGGCTTCCAAGGAGACTGATCCCCAGCGTGCTTTTCTGACACTAAAAAGGTACACAGAGCCAGCAGAGGAGATGGAGGAGGCTGCCACCTTTTAAAACGAAAATCCAGATTGGAAGAGTTACTTTCATTAAAAATATGGAATAAGCAAGAGATGCAGACATCCGAGGGCTTAGTTCTGCTTCCAGAGGGGCTGTGGCCAAGTGGTCAGTACACTCCATGTTCACCGAATGCATCCAAGAGAGGGTCTTCCTTCCTCAAGAGCCTCCTCCTGGGACCACATCCCAATACAAAGACCATGAACAAGCCACACTGATACAAGAACTGGCTCACTAACCTGAGTTCCAGCTTTGTTTGCAAGAGATTACTTTCTGCAAAAACCTCTTTGCTTTGAACTCTATTCTCCAGTTTTAAAGCTGTTGCTGGAATTTCACTTGTTTCACTTTAGTAAGGATGTAAAATTGGGGGAGACAGGGAATAATTGGTAGAAAGAACCTAGACGTGCCCCATTCGACACAGAACCCACTGGGCACCTGTAGCTATTCCAATTCTTGTTTTTTAGTTAAATAATATTGAAAATTCAATTCCCAGTCATGGGAGCCACATTCCAAGTGCTCGTTGGCCATATGTGGCTACCATCCTGGAGAATTCAACATGAAACATTTCCATCACTGCGCAAAGTTCCATTGTGCAGTAATAACCCAGGCAGAAAACTGAATAAGCTCATTATATACCTGTTACAGTTCTGAAGTTTTTGGTATTATACTCACCCATCCTACTGCAAATTATATATTGCTATATTTTTGTTTATTACAGATAAAAAGAGCTCATGTTGCATGAGTGTACTTAGAAAAGTTTTCATTAATCCTTCAAGATTACAGATTCCTATGTAACCATGCATTCTACTCAAAACCCCAGAACACAAAAAATGTTAATACCAATAGCATCCTTGGCTCTACTCAGGTTCATGAAAATATATCAGCTTTCTTACAAAAGTAAGCCAGAGGGGCTTACCATGGGTTGAGAAACAATGCAATATTTCAACCTTTATCATTTAGAAACCTCTTATGCTGAGGACCTTCCTCAATCTCTCCTCGGAAACCCACCCAAAAGAGAGACCCTCCCTATAACATAAGCCAGAAGATAAGTTTGCAGCTCCTATGCTGGCCTCCTCACTTCTATGCCAGATCTAACCAGTTCCTTCATATTGTCAACAGCTCCTCACAGCTGAAGGAGTATTCAAGCAAGTACAGTTAGGGGAAAACTAAAAGCGTAAATAACATTTGTCAAGACCTACACCGGTGGAGGAGGAGTGGAGTGCTGTGCGTCAAGGCACTCAGTTATGGTGGATATGTCTATGCTCCCATTTAATCCTCATTTTTCAGTAAGGTCAGCTCTGGATTCAAATCCACTTCCCAAGCAGCCTATTAAAACCTTAAAAATGCAGTTTACCATGAATTAAGAGTCAACTTCATAGAATAAACTTCTCACATCACTTCTGATATATACTAGCCTCACAAAGGGACTGGGTCCTAATGGACTATGTCTTAGCTGACATACTTGCTGACGATATAAACTTGAAAAGAGAAACATCCGCGCCAGATGAGCAGGTGAGCGGTCACTTACTTAGCAATGTACGCCCCTAAGTAGCTTCTGATCACTGTGTCCGTGGTGAGCAGGCAGCTCGCAGGCAACGAGATAACCGTCTGTCCCTCCTTACCAGAAAGAAAGTAAAGTTTAGAACACCCGTGCCTGGGGGAGGACCTGAGTGAATCTTCTGAAGTCCCTGATTCCACAATCATCTATTGAGAATCCAGCGGAGCCCAACCACAGACGACCGAAGAGCCTTCCAGCGGACGGCCTCCCCGGGCCGTCAGGAGACGCAGGCAGGACTGCTCCCACGCCGGGCACTACAACCCCAGCTAGAGTTAGAGGTTAACTGTGTGACTGACACCCACCACCACTCAACCTTCCATCAGAAAGGAATGCAGAAACTCTCCCGCGACTCAAGTCATGGTGTTCCTTCAGGTTCTTACACCAGGAAATAGTGCCACCCACAGGCAACAGACAGAAACCACGCCAGAAATTTCTTCCAGTGAAATGCGCATGCCTGGATGTCTATTCCCAGAAACGGCATCCTTGCCATATAACCTGTGACAAGTAGCTGCAGAAAAGGCAAGGTCAGCCCCCAGCACAAGAATTTCACTTGTTCACCTGCAAAAGTAGAGTTTTCAGTTTCTCCCACTGAGATAGAAACATAGAAAAATTAAGATATCAAGGACTAGACCAGTAGAAATAAAGCATTAAGCAGTGATCAAGACCATCCCCAAAAAAAAGAAATGCAAAAAGGCAAATGCATTTGTTGTCTGAGGAGGCCTTTAAAATAGCTGAAAAAGCAGCAAAAGGCAAATGAGAAAGGAAAGGTATACCCATTTGAACGCAGAGTTCAAAAGAACAGCAGAGAGAGAGAAGACTTCCCTGGTGGCTCAAATGGTAAAGCGTCTGCCTACAATGCAGCAGACCCAGGTTCAATCCCTGGGTTGGGAAGATCCTCTGGAGAAAGAAATGGCACCCCACTCCAGTACTCTTGCCTGGAAAATCCCATGGATGGAGGAGCATGGTAGGCTATGGTCCATGGGGTAGCAAAGAGTCAGACACAACTGAGCAACTTCATTTTTCACTTTCCTCAGTGATCAATACAAGGAAATAGAGGAAAACCATAGAATGGGAAAGACTAGAGATCTCTTCTAGAAAATCAGAGATACCAAGGGAACACTGCATGCAAAGATGGGCACAATTAAGGACAAAAATGATATGGACCTAACAGAAACAGAAGATATTAAGAAGAGGTGGCAAGAATACACAGAAGTATACAAAAAAGATCTTCATGACCCAGATAAGCATGACGGTGCGATTACTCACCTAGAGCCAGACATCCTGGAATGTGAAGTCAAGTGGGCCTTAGGAAGCATCACTACAAACAAAGCTAGTGGAGGTGATGGAATTCCAGTTGAGCTATTTCAAATCCTAAAAGATGATGCTATGAAAGTGCTGCACTCAACATGCCAGCAAACTTGGAAAACTCAGCAGTGGCCACAGAACCAGAAAAGGTCAGTTTTCATTCCAATCCCAAAGAAAGGCAATGCCAATGTCCAAACAATGTTCACAATTGCACTCATCTCACATGCTAGCAAAGTAAAGATCAAAATTCTCCAAGCCAGGCTTCAAAAGTAAGTGAACTTGAACTTCCAGATGTTCAAGCTAGATTTAGAAAAGGCAGAGGAACTGCCAACATCCACTGGATCATCGAAAAAGCAAGAGAGTTCCAGGAAAACATCTACTTCTGCTTTATTGACTACGTCAAAGCCTTTGACTGTATGGATCACAACAAACTGGAAAATTCTTTAAGAGATGGGAATACCACACCACCTGACGTGCCTCCTGAGAAATCTGTTTGCAGGTCAAGAAGCAACAGTTAGAACCAAACATAGAACAACACACTGGTTCCAAATAGGAAAAGGAATACATCAAGGATGTATATTGTCACCCTGCTTATTTAACTTATATGCAGAGTACATCATGAAAAATGCCAGGCTGGAGGAAGCACAAGCTGTAATCAAGATTGCTGGGAGAAATATCAATAACCTCATATGCAGATGATACCACCCTTATGGCAGAAAGTGAGGAAGAACTAAAGAGGCTCTTGATGAAGGTGAAAGAGGAGTGAAAAAGTTGTCTTAAAATTCAACATTCACAGGGTGCTCAGGGCTGGTGCACTGTGATGACGCTGAGGGATGGGATGGGGAGGGAGGTGGGAATGGGGGTTCAGGATGGGGAACACATGTACACCCATGGCTGATTCATGTCAATGTATGGCAAAAGCCATTACAATATTGTAAAGTAATCAGCCTCCAATTAAAATAATTTAAAAAAAAAACTCAACATTCAGAAAACTAAGATCATGGCATCTGGTCCCATCATTTCATGGCAAATAGATGGGGAATTAATGAAAACAGTGAGAAATTATTTCTTTGGGTTCCAAAATCACTGCAGATGGTGACTGCAGCCATGAAATTAAAAGACACTTGCTCCATGGAAGAAAAGCTATGACCAACCTCGACAGCGTATTAAAAAGCAGAGACATTACTTTATCAACAAAAGTCCATCTAGTCAGAGCTATGGTTTTTCCAGTAGTCATGTATGGATGTGAGAGTTGGACCATAAAGAAAGCTGAGCACTGAAGAACTGATGCTTTTTAACTGTTGTGTTGGGGAAGACTTGAGAGTCCCTTGGACTGCAAGGAGATCCAACCAGTCCATCCTAAAGGAGATCAGTCCTGAACACTCATTGGAAGGACTGATGCTGAAGCTGAAACTGCAACACTCTGGCCACCTGATGTGAAGAACTGACTCCTTGGAAAAGACCCTGATGCTGGGAAAGACTGAAGGCAGGAGGAGAAGGGGAGGACAGAGGATGAGACAGTTGGATGGCATCACCAACTCAACAGACATGAGTGTGAGCAAGCTCGGGTAGTTGGTGATGGACAGGGAGGCCTGGCATGCTGCAGTCCATGGGGTTGCAAAGAGTCAGACACAACTGAGTGACTGAACTGAACTGAAGAAACCAGATAAAAGATCTTCCTTTCATCATAACTGACACCTAAGTTGTTTAAACATATCAGCCAAAAGTCACCTGGTTTCATTTTCTGGTCTCCTTGTCTGTCAATCAAGACTGAGCTGGGACTTTCCCGGTGCTCCAGTGGTTAAGAATGTGCCTGCCAGTGCCGGAGACATAGGCTCAGTCCCTGGTCCGGGAGGATCCCACATGCCATGGAGCAACTAAGCTCGTGCACTCCAACAGCTGAAGCCCACACACGTAGAGCTCATGCTCCACAACCAGAAAAGCCACCACACCACGCAAGGAGTGGCCCCCGCTCGCTGTAACTAGAGAAAGCCCATGCGCATCAACAAAGACAGTGCAACCAAAAATTTTTTCTTTTTAATTTTTTTAAAGAACTATTATCTTCACACACAATAAAAAGACTTGAGTTGGTACAGTCACTAATATCCCTTCCTGCTCTGACATCCCATGTCAATAACAAAAAAAACCCTCTGAATACAATGTTCTATATCTTGAGATAAATGTCTTCATCGTCAAAACCCCATCAAACTGGAGACTTAAAATGTGCGTATTTCACTACATATAAAATACATCTCAATTTTCAAAGTTTTTGCGAAAAAGCCACAATTCAAAGTACATGTAAAGTAACTGCCAAACACCATTTCCTGATCCAAACAACAACTACCCATAGTCACCACTATATTCATGAGAGGTATATTTCTCACCTTTAAAGCCTGCTACAGAATAGTCATATACCACCCCTCAAAAAGAAAAATACTGCTCAGCAATGTGAATGGTGAATGTACTTAAGACTATTCAACTGCACACTTAAAAATGGTTTTGATAGTAAATTTTATGTTATGTGTTCAGTTCAGTCGCTCAGTCGTGTCCGACTCTTTATGTGTATTTTACCACAATTAAAAATGAAAAAAAAATTACGATAGCATAATAGAATTACAACTTTAAAAGCTACCATTCTTTAGGTTAACCCAGACACATCTGGGTTTTATCTAAATTAAGGAGTAAACATAAAACAATTTTTAAACAGAAAATTTCAATAATTACAAATAAGGAATTCATGTCTAGCTCTACAGAAAACTGTGCATTGGATGTCCTTTAAATAGCACGTAAGAACTAAAACAGACCTTGCAGAGCAGCTGTCGTTTCCTTGCTCGCTGTCCAGCCTTGGAGACCGAAGCCCAGAGGGTCAGGGGCCTCGCCTGGTGGAAGGGGACCCCTGGACAGGCTGAGAGGTCACCTCCCCTGCCTGCTGGGCTGCTGGGTTCTACTTACTACAGAGGCTCAGATTTGAGCAGCTCCCCTCCAGCCCCAGCCTACCCTCAGCACATTTAAAACACTATCAGACTTACAAAACCTGCCGCGGCCGAGATGGCTAGTCATGCACCCCAACACACTTTCCATTCTCGCCCTCCCTGGGCGCTGGCAGGTGAGATGCAGCTGGAACTTCATGGCTGAGCGGAAGCCCGCCCCTCCTCACCCCTTGCTCCTTCTTGCTACCCCCTGGAGCCACACCCAGGGGCTACACCCTGGAGCTGAGCTGATGGAGGCCGGACCACACCGGCTCAGGACCACCTACCCAGGCTCGTGGCCTGATGGCCAAAGAAATGTGTGCTGTGACCTTGGCTTTGTTTCTTGCACGCAGCAAACAATTCTGACAGAACTGTATTCAAAGCCATCCATTAAGTTAAAAAAAAAAACTTGTATGTCTAAAATATTTTTCACTCATTTGACTTGAACCCCAAAACCAAGCAGAAACATCCACTTTGGGTTTCAAGGTAAGAGAGAAAATCTCACCCGCAGGGATGTCTTGCTCATCAGCCCTCTTCCTGTACCTACAAATGCAAAGAGAGAAAAAAAGGATAAATCCTATGACAGCTTCAAGGTCTTAGAGATACTATTCTGTATAAGAGATGTGGGTGAACTTCAAAATGACACAAAGCTGAAGCAGAGTGTCTCGCATCCTTTGACTCCCCGGGGAAACCAAGGATCAAGAAGCTATTCTGGACGATGTCTCGACCTCCTTTTGGGTTTATGATCCTTGAAGGGAAAAGTCTGCCTTAGATGTGACACCTAAAGATGATCATCCTCAAGCAGAAAAGGTGCTGGGTCTTATACAGGCCACCTGAAGCTGGACTCTCTCCCCTGTGGTCTCCTGGCTGAGGTGGAGGACCAACTCCCCAGGATGCCCATCCAACTTCCGAGGCTGGACCCGCAGGTTACTTCTACCCGTTACCAGACCCAGCGCTCCAAAGGAATGATTAAAGTCTTTGGCTGAATGACCACTAAAGCCCACTCAGGTGCCACAAAGCCTGGGGCTGTGCCCTCCCCTCCCCAAACAGACAAGCCACGAGGTGCGCTCTCCTTGACCTGACAAGCCACGAGCCATGCTCTCCTCGACCTGACAAGCCACGAGCCGTGCTCTCCTTGACCTGACAAGCCACGAGCCGTGCTCTCCTCGACCTGACAAGCCACGAGCCTCACTTTCCTTAACCAGACAAGCCACAAGCCACGCTCTCCTTGACCTGACAAGCCACGAGCCACGCTCTCCTTGACAGGACAAACCACGAGCCGTGCTGTCTTTGACACGTCAAGCCATGAGCTGCGCTCTCCTTGACCTGACAAGCCACGAGCTGCGCTCTCCCAGACAGGACAAGCCATGAACCGTGCTCTCTTTGACCGGACAAGCTCAGTGAGGTAGATCCAGGACCAGCTGCTCCCACGAGCCAAGGCCTTGACCAGAGCACAGTCATGACACTAGCTCCCCTGGTGGCTTTGGCAACACTGCCGACATCCGTAAGTTTACCCCTCCGTGCCCAGGGCTCCCCTCCTGCCACAGTCAGCTGACAGCTTTTCTGGAAGAGATGGGCAGGATATGACTTGCAAGCATTATATGAACTCTCTCTAGTCGTCTTCTCAAAACCACGGTTTCTGACTTTTTTCTCTCAGCTAGTCGTTGTGGTTGTTCAGTCACTAAGTCATATCCGACTCTTTGTGACCCCACGGACGGCAGCACGCCAGGCTTCCTGTCCTTCACTGTCTCCCAGAGTTTGCTCAAATTCTCAGATAGGAGGGAATATAATACAGTGAAGGTCAATGCCTGTAGGCCTAATGGGAGGTCCCAGATCATGAAGAGAATTCTTGCCTCGAGTCCGGAATCAGGTGTCTGGCAAGTTTAATTTGATGAGTAGTCCTTCCTACCTAGAAGCATACTGTCTGCTTGAACACATGCTTCTGGTTTTAAGAACTTAATTTCTTCTGTGTGTCCCACAGTAAAGTTAATCATCCCTGTGGGCCAGAACCTTTAAGAACCTTAAATGGGAGAAATTTTTTCCTGTGGAGTCCCTGGTGGTTCAGCTGGCAAAGAATCCACCCGCAATTCGGGAGAGCTGGGTTAGACCCCTGGGTTGGGAAGATCCCCTGGAGAACGGAATGACTACCCACTCCAGTATTCTGGCCTGGAGAATTCTCTGGACTACACAGTCCATGGGGTCGCAAAGAGTCAGATAAGACTGCACAGCTTTCATTTTCACTTTTATCCTCTAAAATTCATGTGCTAATTTAAGTGGAAATTCCTCTCTAAACATATATGAACAGAACTCAGCAGACAGAATAAATCCAGAAGGTACTTTACCTATATGTCCACAACACAGGGTTCAATAGACCAGAAAACAGATCACAGTAACTTGTACTTACTAAGGCAAGGTAGGAAGTGGTCATTAGAATGTTACTAGACTACTCACTACCTTATAATTTCTGCTGCCATCTATCCGAGAGGCCCAGATTTGGACAGTGCTTTTAGTGTTAAAAGGAAATATTGGAAAAAAATAAAAATAAAAGGAAATACCGGGGTCAGCTCCCAAAGCATAAATCAGATCAAAGTCTAGAGACTGAATCTTGATTGTAACTTGGGAATCCTGCCTTGATGCTCCACAAACTAATTCCCCAGAATTTCATACATTTTGACAGACTCCCATGAATATTCTCTCTGATCCTACACTGATTAAAAGCTAAAGATACAGAAAGCACTTAGGGAAGGTGTTGTGGACTGACTGTTTGTGTCCCCTTAAATTCAAGTGTTGATTTCCTAACCTCTAATGCAACAGGTTTAGGAGGTGGGACTTCTGGTAAGTGACTAGGTCAAGGGTAGAGCCCTCATGAATGGAATCCGTGCCCTTATAAGAAGAGAGAAGAGAGCTCCTCTCGTGAGGACACGAGAAGATTCACAAAGCAGGAGTCAGTCCTCACTAGATACTGAATCTGCCCGCACCACAATTTTAGACTTCTTAACCTCCAGAACTGTCTGAAATAAATTGCTGTTTAGGCCACCAGGTCTATGGTAATTGGTTACAGCAGCCCACAATGATGACGGTTCCTTGCCCCCAGAATTGTAAGTGCTGGGTTCTGCTCACTGCCGAACCACTTTGCTTTAGCTCCTCTATCACCATGAATCTAGACGTGGGCCCAGAGGAAGCTGTTGCCACTTTTAAAACTGCTCACTCTTCACTGCTCTAAATCATAGGCAGATTACTTATTTTCAGGCATTCAATTGAAACCATATGCCAATTCCGGCTTGATCATTTTAAATCTATCCTTCTTAAGGCAAAGTGACACTCAGGGAGTAGGCAGGCCTTAGGCACAGCAAGTCCACTCTGGACACTGCTTTTCTCTTGATCATCTCAAAGAATTCCACCCGGGACTTCCCTGGGGGCCGGTGGTTTAAGGCTCCGCCTGCCAAAGTAGAGGACACAGGTTCAATCCTTGATCCGGGAAGGTCCACATGCCCTGAAGCAACTGGGCCCACGCACCCCAACTACTGAGCCAGCACACGGGGAGGCTATGCTCTGCAACGAGACGCCAGCGCGACGAGAAGCCTGTGCCCGCAGCTACAGAGCAGCCCCCCAGCCCTGCTCGGGGCAACTAGAGAAAGCCCACGTGCGGCAACCAAGACCCAGCACAGCCAAAAATACGTGAGGTCTTTAAATACATTTATTAAGGAAAAACTCCACTCGGTAAAGTCTAACAGCATGGTTTTACTAGGCATTCCCTGACACACAGAAGCAGAAAGTTAGACATTGCGCTAGAGGCTAATAAATGTGACTCGCCGTCAGAAAAAAGGAGCAATCCCAACAGAGACTGGTTCGAAGTGAAGTATTTCAGCCCAACGCCATCATGTATTACTGACACACGGGAACAACTGCACACACATCCCCTCACTAGACCCTCACTAGGAGCACATGGGGTAAACAGTTTATCTTGCGGGCATTTAAGGAAGTCCGTGTGCTCAAAGTTAAATTACCTAATGGGTACTCGAATGATCACTTTAATGGCCAAGGGGAACCTTCAGAGGCTTATGACTTAAGTATTCTGTAAGGTGAAACGTCTGCACCTGCCCTGTGATACTGAACTTCGAGGCCCTCAGCTCACAGCCGTCTCTGTGCTACGGCAAACCCGAAACCCGTCTGAGGAGCACATCGGTCCTCTCGGTGGTGACCTCAAGCCCACTCGTGGACAGAGCTGGGTGGCCTTGTCTGAAGACACATGCCCACAGCCGCCAGCTCCCCAACTGCTGTGAGAGAATGTTCTGGAAGAGAATGCTGACACAAACTTCCTGGCAAGTTCCTCAATTTTCGGTAAATGTTAATCCAACCTCCACAGGGAAACCCCTCAACTTTCAGAAAAGAATATTCACCCATCCCTGTTCAGTGGCTGTGGACGCCAGGGCCACACAGGGGCTCCCCCTCCAAGGCGTGGGGCTGGGGGGCAGCGCAGTTACGGCTTCCCTCAGGGTTCCTCTCCTGGAGCCACCCACCCAGGGAATAAGCACCCCCGCTGGTTCTTTGGAACCTGCTGGCCTGAGAAAACTCCTGGGATGCACCTGAGCTAGGGGATAATCCCATCAGCTGCACAGGACTTGAAAATCTCAAGAAACCACCACGAGTAAGTTGATGGGGTCACCAGTCACCATGTTACACAGCGTCTTCCCTATAAAAACCCAGTGAAGACCTTTCCCTCACGCCTATTTTCCAGAAATACTTATAGCTCTGATGAGTAAACCATTTAGTTGTGCTCACAGAACACTAAGATCCAGATAAGTGACCATGTACACTGGGCTGCTAGACAGAGGAGTCAAATTGGCAGCCCACCTCTGACAGGGCTACAGCTCAGTTCAGTCTCTCAATCGTGTCTGGCCCTCCGAGACCCCGTGGACTGCAGCACACCAGGCCGCCCTGTCCATCACTAACTCCTGGAGTTTACTCAGACTCATGTCTGTTGAGTCAGTGATGTCATCCAACCATCTCACCCTCTGTCGCCCCCTTCTCCTCTCACCTTCAATCACGGGCACAAGATGCCACGATTATGGCTTTTAGGTATTATCCTTATCCCTGCCTTCATCCTATTTTTCTGTTCTCATTTCCCTCTTCTAAATTTTATTTCGCCATTTTGGAATTTCTGTCCACAAGCCACTTAAAACTCATTTTCAGAGTAAGGTAAAGTGTAAGTAAATATTACACCTACAAGGCAGGAAGCCTGCCACACAACAGAAGACGTGCTCCCGGAAAGAATACAGCCCGCCTGCGAGAATCACCCTGGTTCTCCCATCACCTGGGCCCATGTGTCTCTCAGGAGACAGGTGAATGAATGCCAGATCTTACCTGGAAAACAAGCAGGAATCAAGTTTGTATCTTCAAACTTCCTATCTTTCAGCCACTTCTTAAGCTCTATAAATTCAGGCTTGTAGCTCTCATTCACTAATCAAGAGAGGAAAGAAAACCTGGTGACTAAAATCACTATCTAATTGGATCACTCCAAACTGACAAGATGACTTTAAAATTCATATGGAAATGTGAAAGACCTGAAATAGCCAAAGCCACTTTGAAATACTGATCTCAAAACTTTTTATCACTATAAAATGACAGTAACTAAGATTGTGTGATACTGTCATCAAGACAGAAAAAGAAATCAATGGAATAGAAAGTCCAAAACAGACCTACACATATGCTGACAACTGGTTTTTTTTTTAATGCAAGGGCAATTCCATGGAGAAAGAACAATTGTTGTTTTTTTTTTACTAAATACTGCTAAAACATTTGGAATAAACAAATCATGGACTATAATTCATGTTAAAACAAAGACCTATTGATACACGTAACAACACAGAATTATCTCAAAATAATTATGCTGAGTAAAAGAAGACAGATTTCTTTAAATGCATACTATATAATTAAATAAAACCATAAAACACAAATCAATAGTGAAAGCAGATCAGTGGCTGTCTGAAGATGGAGGGAGGGAGGGTTCAAAGAGGTGCCAGATGAAAGGATTACCAAGGGAAATGAGAAACTTCTTAGGGTGATAAATAATGTTCATATCTTGACTTTTGTAATGGCTTCCTGTGTGTATACATATGTCAAATTCTTTCAAATACGTGACATTCATTGTGGGCTAGTTACACCTCAACGAAAGTGTTTTCTTAAGAAACATATGATCCAAAATATAAGGCTCCTAAAATAGGTTATCACAACCTAAAGAAAAGAGTTCACAGTAAGAGCATTGAAAAAGCAACTACTACACCCCCAGGACTATTAACCACTGTGGAGGACGTCCAACATGCTCTTCACCCTCGAGAGGTTAATGTTTTGGTTGGGTAAAAAAGACTTCTACAAAAACCAGGTGGAAAACCAGAAGCATGGAAACTGGGTGACATTAGTGAGAACTGGAAATGGCATTACCGAAAACATAAGACCTCAACTCAGTCTCAAAGGTGAGAGAGAAACGCAACAAGCTGGGAGAAGGGAAGAAAGCTGGTTTGGCTGGAGAAAGACTGAGGAAAGGCTAATGTGGGGGAGGTGGGTAGAGAACATACTTTCAGCACAAGGAGTGGAAGGGGGAGCCATTTAGAAAGGGAGTTGATGTCAAACAGCATACAAGAGACAATGAGGTGCTCGCTTCGGCGGCACATATAGTAAAATTGGAACAATCCCTGCGCAAGGATGACACGCAAATTCGTGAAGCGTTCCATATTTTTATGCACTTATGGACACCTTATTTTCAACAAAGGAGGCAAGAATATACAATGGAGAAAAGACAATCTCTTTAACAAGTGGTGCTGGGAAAACTGGTCAACCACTTGTAAAAGAATGAACTAGAACACTTTCTAACACCATACACAAAAATAAACTCAGAATGGATTCAAGATCTAAACGTAAGACCAGAAACTATAAAACTCCTAGAGGAAAACATAGGCAAAACACTCTCCGACATGAATCACAGCAGGATCCTCCATGACCCTCTATGACCCATCTCCCAGAGTAATGGAAATAAAAGCAAAAATAAACAAATGGGACTTAATTAAACATAAAAGTTTTTGCACAACAAAGGAAACTATAAGCAAGGTGAAAAGACAGCCTTCAGAATGAGAGAAAATAATAGCAAACAAAGCAACTGACAAAGAATTAATCTGAAAAATATACAAGCAACTCCTGCAGCTCAATTCCAGAAAAATAAATGACCCAATCAAAAAATGGGCCAAAGAACTAAACAGACATTTCTCCAAAGAAGACATACAGATGACTAACAAACACATGAAAAGATGCTCAACATCACTCATTATCAGAGAAATGCAAATCAAAACCACAATGAGGTACCATTACACGCCAGTCAGAATGGCTGCTATCCAAAAGTCTACAAGCAATAAATGCTGGAGAGGGTGTGGAGAAAAGGGAACCCTCTTACACTGTTGGTGGGAATGCAAACTAGTACAGCCACTATGGAGAACAGTGTGGAGATTCCTTAAAAAACTAGAAATAGAACTGCCATATGACCCAGCAATCCCACTGCTGGGCATACACATCGAGGAAACCAGAATTGAAAGAGACACGTGCACCCCAATGTTCACCACAACACTGTTTATAACAGCCAGGATGTGGAAGCAATCTAGATGTCCATTGGCAGATGAATGGATAAGAAAGCTGTGGTACATATACACAATGGGATATTACTCAGCCATTAAAAAGAATACATTTGAATCCATTCTAATGAGGTGGATGAAACTGGAGCCTATTATACAGAGTGAAGTAAGCCAGAAAGAAAAACACCAATACAGTATACTAATGCATATATACGGAATTTAGAAAGGTGGTAACAATAACCTCACATGTGAGACAGCAAAAGAGACACAGACAGTTTTTTGGACTCTGTGGAAGAGGGCGAGGGTGGGATGATTTGGGAGAATGGCATTGAAACGTGTATATTATCATATGTGAAAAAGATCGCCAGTCCAGGTTGGATGCATGAGACAAGTGCTCAGGGCTGGTGCACTGGGAAGCCCCCGAGGGATGGGATGGGGAGGGAAGTGGGGGGGGTTCAGGATGGGGAACACATGTACACCCATGGTGGATCCATGTCAATGTATGGCAAAACCACTACAATAGTAAAGTAATTAGCCTCCAATTAAAATAAATAAATTTATTTTATTTATTAAATAAAATAAATAAATAAATTTTTAAAATATTTCAAATTTTAATAAAAAAGTATATATAAATAAATAATAATAAAAATAAATTTTAAGGTAAATATAAATAAATGAAAATTAATTAAATAAAATTAAATTAAAATAAATTTTAAAAATAATATCTCCAACTTTAGTAAGGAAAAGGAATATATAAATAATTAATTAAAGTTAATTAACTAATTAATTAATTAAATTAATTAAAATAATTAATTAAAATAATATTTCCAACTTTAATAAGAAAAAAGAGAGAGAGACAATGAGGCGGGACTTCCCTCGTGGACCGATGGCTGACTTCACACTTCCACTACAGGCGGCATGGGTTCCATCCCTAGTGTGGGAACTAAGCTCCTACATGCAGTGCAACCAAAAAAAAAAAGAAGACAGAGGGTAATGGGTCTTTAAAACAAAAAAATAAAGACAATGAGGATCCTGGAGGCTCCTAAACCAAAGAGGCAACAGTCCCTTAGGAAAGTCAGCCTGACGGTGGCAACCGGAACTACGAAGAGGAAAGAGAAACAAGGATGTGAAGAAGAGCCGGCTGAGGTCACCTCTGGGCACATTAGAGGCGGAGGGGTTAACCGAAGAAAGACCAGGTGAGAATGAGCGGGACATGGCCTATAGGGCAGAGAAGGCTACAGAGTCAAAGATAACCTCCAACGGAGCTGACGTGCTGCAGGTCAGCTACGAGGCATTTCAGTCACTTTCATCAAAAATAACAAGTGCACTTATGCAGTCCTCTCCAGTGGGCCAAGTACTTTCGAATACACTATCTTGTTCAGACTGGGTTACACTGAACTTGAGATTATAAACTTATATCCAAACACTGATAACCTATAGGCAGTGAGAGGTCAGGCCTAGAAACAGAAACCTGGGAGTCATCCCCAGAGAAGACAGAGTTGAAGCGATATATTTGTCATCCCATAAGGGTTTAAAAGAATAAAATGGCACTATTACAAAACAGTATTCTCTAAGAGGGCTTCCCTGGAGGCTCAAATGGTAAACAATCTGCCTGCAAGGCACGAGACCCAAGCTGGGAAGATCCCCTGGAGAAGGGAACAGCTACCCACTCCAGTACTCGAAGTATTCTCTATGAACACTGCTCATGTGGCTTTGAGAAAAGCTCTGTGCATCTGTTAATATCAACCAGCAAAGGACTCCTTTTTTCATCACTGGCACCAAAAGAATCAAAACTGTACCTCCTCTTGATTCAGAACTTCTGAAGAGTTTTCGTCTTCTGATCCGGCTTGTTCTTCCTCCTCCGTTCTTCATACTAAAAATGAGGTTTCTGTTTAATTGTCCAAACTAAAACAAAAAGCATTTTCTTTGCTTTTCTTTCCAGTTGTATGACAATCACTGTTCTTTGTACCTGTAAGGATATAAATATACAAACCATTTCTCTAAAATGCTTTTGCATACAAATTGTTTATACTATGAGCTAAATCATGATCCCTGTGCAGTAACAGAATTACCATTATATTGGTCCCTCTAAAACAGTTTTATCTCAACTTCCTACTAAATGCTGATTAATCATGGAAATTCTCACTATCGAGTTCATAATTGTGTGCACATCTCAATGCTAATCAATGTTTATGAAGTAACAGCCTAACTGTACTCTGAATAAACAGTCACCATGCACATGAAAAGATGCTCAACATTGCTAATTATCAGAGAAATGCAAACCAAAACTACAATGAGGCACCATCTCACACTAGTCAGAATGGCCATCATTAAAAACTCTACAAATAATAAATGCTGGAGAGGGTGTGAAGAGGGAGCCCTCCTACATTGTTTGTGGGAATGTAAGTTGGTGCAGCCACTACAGAAAACAGTATGGGAGGTTCCTCCAGAAACTAAAAGCAGAGTTGCTATATGATCCAGCAATCCCACTCCAGTGCATATATCTGAACAAAACTATAATTCAAAAAGATACATGCACCCCTATGTTCAAAGCAGCGTTATATACAATAGCCAAAACATGGAACCAACCTAAATGTCCATCTACAGATATGGTACATATATACAATGGAATACTATTCATCCATTTTTAAAAAAGAATGAAATAATGGCATTTGCAGTAACATGCATGGAACCAGAGGTTATCTAAGTGAAGTGAGCCAGAAAGGGAAAGACAAATACCATACAATGCCACTTATATGCTGATCTAAAATATGACATAAATGAACCTACCTATGAAACAGAAACAGAGTCACACACAGAACAGACTTGTGGTTGCCCTGGGGGAGAGAGGCGAAGAGGGATGGATTGCACTGAGATGCAAACTATTATATACAGAATGAATAAACAAGGCTTACTGTATAGCACAGGGAACTACATTCAATATCCTGGATAAACTATAATGGAAAGGAATATAAAAATATATATGTGTGTGTTTATACATATAAATATATATATAGAATCATTTTGCCACACAGCAGAAATTAACACAACACTGTAAATCAACTGTACTTTAAAAAAACAGTAGCAATGAAACCGCCATCTGCCCAGAAGTCGTACAAGGAAAGAAAAAAAAACGGTTTCTCTTTCAGTGTGAAGTAATGACTTATTCTTAAAACCAGGATCCTGAAGTAAACATAAACTAAGTAGGTGGTTGCCAGAGATTAGGGAGAAAATGAGACCCAAGAGAGCAGACAAAGCAAAGAGATGATTATAAAATCTACAATGACCACTACGGTTTCTACATGATACTTCCTCAGAAATACAAAAATGACACCCATGAATCACACTGGCATGATACAGGTAATGGAGTATTCTGAAGCCATTAATTTAAAGTACCTACGAAGACAGAAAAATATACAAGATATATTAAGTCAAAAAAGTTGCAGAACAGATTCAAAGACCCCTTACTGGTCTGCGTTGGGCACATTTTATGTTTACAAAACAAGAGGATTTAGGAAAATATTCAAAAACGTACAAGGGGAGGGGGCTTTTACTATTCCTTCTGTAACTTCCTATTCTGACATATATATATAGGTACATAAGTGACATAATCCTAATGTTACTTATGTGCATATTATATGCATTTTAAGACTTCCCTGTAGCTCAAACGGTAAAGAATCTGCCTGCAACGCAAGAAACCCAGGTTCAATCCCTGGGTCGAGAAGATCCCTTGGAGAAGCAAACAGGAACCCACTCCAGTATTCTTGCCTGGAGAATCCCATGGACAGAGGAGCCTGGTGGGCTATAGTCCGTGGGGTCGCAAAGAGTCGGACACGACTGAGCAACCAACGCTAATAGTACTATGTGCACTTTAACCAAATCACTGTTTTTCTTAAATTACTAAAAATTACCAGGTAGCCCATGAATAACGAGACACGAACCCCAGGCTCTATTACCATACTATTCCTCTCCAGCGATGAAGGTTCAGTGTTTCATCGACCCGAAGGTGGAGTCGGGCCCCAGGGCCCACCCCGGCTCGTCCCCTCGGCGGCCCCAGCGCCACTCCTGCGCACGGGCCGGGATGCCTCCGCGCGGACCCCCAAGGCCCGAGGTCCGGGGAGCGAGGTGTGCACGTGGCGCCAGGGTGACCGCACGGCTGGCGGCACCGTCCTCGCCCCCCGTTCTCAGACGCCAGACTTGAGGCCGCCCCTCCGTTGGCACACACTCCGCACCTACCCCGGCCTGACCCCACAGCTCTGCCGCCGCTGGAGGACACAGGGCTGAGATCCCTGCTGCTTACAAACGCCCTGACTTAGGGCCCTTCACGTCGAGGATTCTCGGGTCGACTTTCGCTAAATGAACGACTCCCAAATACTGGGGGGGCGTTAAGTTTAATGCGCAGCAGCATGGCAGGGGGTGGACGATGTGAATTCAGCTCTCTTTTTTAAATAAAATTAGAAGGGGAGCCCAAGAGAAAGCCTAGTCCCATTACCCCGGCAACCGAGGCCCCGCCCCGGAAGTTGCCGACCGGCAAGCGGAAGCCCCGCCCCGGAGGTTTGCCAACGCACCTCGATACAGCTTCAAGACGCCGGTGGGCGGGCCCGAAGCGCGTAAACACCCGAAAGAGCACGCAAGTTGCTCGCGAGTTATAGAAGCGGGCCGCAGCACCAGGGAAAACAGCCGAGCGCCGCCAGGCCCGTCTCTAGGCCCCACTGACCCAAGTTCTTGGTCGCCAGGCTGAGCTCTCGGCGCCGCGTGCCTCCGCCTACCGGCATGCACATGCGCATTCTTCCGGGGCGGGGGGTGGAAGGGGACGGCACGGCTGACAGAGCTAGTTAAGGTCGTCCGAGGCTGGACTGCAGGTCTAGGGGTAAGAAAACCCTGTGGCCCGTGGACCAGGAGCCTACGCTCGGAAAGCCGACCTGGAGCGTCTTTCCTTCGGTAGTCCCAAGGGAGGAGCAGCCAATCGTGCGTCTGCCAGGGCGGCCGCCCGCCCTCTCTGTCGCCAGCCCACTTTCGCTTTTCCGGGGGCGGCCCTTGGAAGGCCAGGCCATCCCCCATTTCCGGGCTGACTTTGCTTCGACCCTCCGACTGTCTGTGGGCCAGAGCGCCCTGTCGCGTTCCTCTTCAGCCCAAGGACACTCAGGTCATCTGGCCCGGTTGGCTGTCCCAGGAACAGTGTAACTTCTCCCTAAAGAAGACGGAATTCAGTTGCTGCCCTACCCACTATTCAGTTCAGTCGCTCAGTCATGTGCAACTTTTTGCAACCCCATGGACTGCAGCATGCCAGGCTTCCCTGTCCAACACCAACTTCCAGAGCTTGTTCAAACTCATGTCCGTGGAGTCCGTGATGCCATCCAAACATCTCATCCTCTGTCGGCCCATTCTCCCGCCTTTCCCAGGAACAGGGTCTTTTCCAATGATTCAGTTATTTGCATCAGGTGGCCAAAGTATTGGAGTTTCAGCTTCAGCATCGGTCCTTACAGTGAATACTCAGGACTGATTTCCTTCAGGATGCACTGGTTGGATCTCCCTGCAGTCCAAGTGACTCTCAAGAGCCTTCTCCAACACCACAGTTCAGGCGCATCAATTCTTTGGTGCTCAGCTTTCGTTGTGGTCTAACTGTCACATCTATACATGACCACTGGAAAAACCCTAGCTATTGATTTACACGGACTATACAGACTTTTGTCAAAAGTAATGTCTCTGCTTTTTATTATGCTGTCTAGGTTGCTCATAGCTTTTCTTCCAAGGAGCAAGCGTCTTTTAATTTCATGGCTGCAGTCACCATCTGCAGTGATTTTGGAGCCCAAGAAAAGAATGTCACTGTTTCCATTGTTTCCCCATCTATTTGCCATGAAGTTATGGGGCTGGATGCCATGATCTTAGTTTTTTGAATGTTGAGTGTTAAGCCAGCTTTTTCACTCCTCTTTCACTTTCATCAAGAGGCTCTTCAGTTCTTCGCTTTCTGCCACAAGGGTGGTATCATCTGCATATCTGAGATTATTGATATTTCTCCTGGCAATCTTGAGTCCAGCCTGGCATTTCCATGAAGTACTCTGCACATAAGTTAAATATGCAGGGTGACAGTATACAGTCTTGACTACTCCTTTCCCAATTAGGAACCAGTCTGAGGTTCCATGTCCAGTTCTAACTGTTGCTTCTTGACCTACATACAGGTTTCTTAGGAGGCAGGTAAGGTCATCCGGTATTCCCATCTCTTTAAGAATTTTCCAGTTTGTTGTGAGCCACACAGTCAAAGGCTTTGACAGTCAATAAAGCAGAAGCAGATGTTTTTCTGGAATTCTCTTGCGTTTTCTATGATCCAACAGATGTTGGCAATTTGATCTCTGGTTCCTCTGCCTTTTCTAAATTCACCTTAAACATCTGGAAGTTCTTGGTTCACATACTGTTGAAACCTAGCTTGGAGAATTTTGAGCATTACTTTGCTAGCATATGAGATAGGTGCTGTTGTGTGGTAGTTTGAACATTCTTTGGCATTGCCCTTCTTTGAGACTGAAATGAAACTGACCTTTTCTAGTCCTGTGGCCACTGCCAAGTTTTCCAAATTTGTGACATACTGAGTGCAGAACTTAAATAACATCATCTTTTAGAATTTGAAATAGCTCAACTGGAATTCCATTACCTCACTAACTTTGTTCATAGTGATGCCTCCCAAGACCCACTTGACTTCACATTCCAGGATGACTGGCTTCAGGTGAGTGATCACATTGTCGTGGTTATCTGGATCATGAAGATCTTTTTTGTATAGTTCTTCTGTGTGTTCTTGCAACCTCTTCTTAATATCTTCTGCTTCTGTTAGGTCCATACCATTTCTGCCCTTTATTGTGCCCATCTTTGCATGAAATGTTCCCTTGGTATCTCTAATTTTCTTGAAGAGATCTCTAGTCTTTCCCATTCTACTGTTTTCCTCTATTTCTTTGCATTGATCACTGAGGAAGTCTTTCTTATCTCTCCTCTCCTCTTTATTCTTTGGAACTCTGCATTCAGTGGGTATATCTTTCCTTTTCTCATTTGCCTTCAGCTTCTCTTCTTTTCTCAGCTATATATAAGGCTTCCTCAGACAACCATTTTGCCTTTTTGCATTTCTTTTTCTTGGGGGTGGTTTTGATCACTGCCTCCTGTACAATGTCATGAACCTCTGTCCATAGTTCTTCAGGCACTCTGTCCATCAGATCTAATCCTTTGAATCTATTTGTCACTTTCACTGTATAATCATTAAGGGATGTGATTTAGGTCATACCTGAATGGTCTAGTGGTTTTCCCTACGTTCTTCAATTTAAGTCTGAATTTTGCAATGCGTTCATGATCTGAGCCCCACCCACCCCACCCTCTTTATCAGCTAGCCTCCAAAAGAGCCCAGTATGGAAAAGAGGGGAAGGAACTTTATAGTGGAGAAACTTGGCCAATGTTTCATTGGCTGAGTAATAAGGAATAATAGCAGTGATAAGTCATGTTGATTGCAGGTTTCCCATCTATAGGAAGGGTACTTGACCTCTGTGATATTACCCTCCAAAACCCATAACCTTAGTTCACTAACAGAAGAACAACCTGGTTTTATGTTGGGTGTGTTCCTTTAAGTCTGTTTGTATTGTTGCCTGTGCTTAGTCATGCTGGCTCTGCACTTCTGTGTTGTTGAACAGAGAAAGAATTTTGTCCATAGCCTGAAATACACATAACAGCCCTTTCCCAAGGCCCTGTCTCCCAGGCTTGAATTTTAAAGGCATAACACGTTTTCTTTATGTAGAGATAAAATTGCTGAATTTGTTAAAGGTTATGCACAACTGCAAAAACAAAGGATTATCTCCCCCCTCCAAGTCCCGGCAAGTACCAAGAGATCTGCAACAAGCAGATACATCCCCTCCCCTTTTAGTATAAAAGAAGCCTGAATTCTAACTGGAGTAAGATGGTCCCCTAGGACACTAGGCCTCCATCTTCTCCGCCTGCTGACTTTCCAGATAGTCACTATTCATTGCCCCAAAACCTCACTTCTCAATTTTTTGATTTGTAGTGTCCCCAGCAGTATGAACTTGAACTCAGTTCTTCCTTGATAATACATCAGAAACCGTCCCCACCCCCCAAAAAAACTGTCTGGCCAATACAGCCAGTGCTCCATATCTATGAGTTCTGTATCTATGGATTCAACCACCTGTGGATACAAAATGTTAGAGAAAAATAAAGCAGAAAGTTTCAAAAAGCAAAATTTGAACTTGTTATACACTTGTAACACTTACATAGCATTTACATTGTATTAAATATTATAAGTAATCTAGAGATAATTTAAAGTATATGGGAGAATGTGCCTAGGCAAATACTAGACCATTTTATATGACAGAGTTGAACATCCTAGGATGCCGGCCTCCAAAGTGGTGTCTTGGATACCAAGGGGTGACTATACTCCTAAAAGCTGAAAAAGGTCATGAAAAACAAGTAAGCTTTCTAAGAATCAGTCGCAAACCAGAGGAAGCTAAGGAGACATGACAGTTAAATGTACTGTGGCATTCTGAAGAGACTCTTGGAATAGAAAGGGGATATCAGAGGAAAAAACTAGTGAAATCCACAAAAACACAGAACTTATACTGCTGTTACAGCGTTATTTCTTGTTGTTGCTCTTCAGTCACTAAGTCGTGTCCTGCTGTGACCCCTTGGACTTCCCTATCCTTCACTATCTCCCAGAGTTTGCTCAAACTCATGTCCTTTGCATCTATGATGCCATCCAACCATCTCATCCTCTGTTGCCCGCTTCTCCTTCTGCCCTCAGTCTTTTCCAGCATCAGGGTCTTTTCCAGTGAGTCAGCTCCTCATATCCAGTGGCCAAAGTATTAGAGCTTTAGCCTCAGCATCAGTCCTTCCAAATGAATATTCCAGGTTGATTTCCTTTAGGGTTGACTGGTTTGATCTCCTTGCTATACAAGGGACTCTCCAGAGTCTCCAACACCACAGTTTGAAAGCCTCAATTCTTCAGCACTCAGCCTTCTTTAGGTACAACTCTCACATCCGTACGTGACTACTGGAAAAACCACAGCTTTGACTATGTGAAATGAAAATAAATCTTGCCATATTAATAAATAAGAAATGTCACAGCCATCAGTGACTTCTGGCCTCCAAATGTGAATGAAGGCTCCCAAAACTGGGATCCAGCAGTTGCTGCCACCCGAACAGTGATTGCTGAGGAGCTGGGGCAATGCAAGAAACAACAAGGTGAAGTAGGAAACAAGATTGGCCCCAGAGAGCTGAGGTGCATATGAAAGGAATAAATTCAGTGAGCCCAGAGGCTTGCATCTTCCCACACACAGAATGCTAAATTCCTTGATACCTGATCTTGATGTTCCGACTGCCTGCTCCCTTTGTTGCAAACTTGTATATAGCCTAACTTCCCCTTCTGCCCCCTTGGAGCAGTTTTCTCAGAGCTATGGAGATGCTGTCTCCCAGGCTCAGAGTCCTAAACATTCCCACCAAATAACTCTACCTTCAGGTTGTGACTATATTTTTTAGTCAACAACTATACGGACCTTTGTCGGCAAAGTGATCGTCTCTGCTTAGTTACAATAAATGTACGGTCACAACATTACCGAACTGAGCCTGGTTGCACACACATGCAGCAAAGCCAATTTGATGACACTTTGTTGTGGTGAAGGAAAGTACAGCATGTATCATTGCAAGATCCAGCAAGCTTAACTCCTGAGCAGTTTTCAGGGGAGGGTTTTTAAAGGCAACATTTGAGGGTCAGAGCTGCAGCGTCCATGACTTGCTTCTGACTGGTGGGTGGTGAGGTAACACGGTGGTGTTTCAGGAATCTCAGTCATCTGCTTTGTGGTTCCATCCAGTCTAGGTTCTTGTGCTTGCACTCAGCCTGTAGTCGCAGTCCTCCACCCAAGGGGGTAGGTTTGGAGTCTTTGTTCTCAAAGAGGAACTCAAAGCTACCTGTCACGCTGTGCGTATGTTCTTTGGGGAGAACTAGGACTCTCATCACTGAACTGCTGGTGTGGGTATGTGACGACTTCCCCTTTGCTTCCGCATCCCGTCACTTCCTTTATTAGTAACTGCTTGTGCCTGCTCTTTGGTTAAAGCGTCTGCCTCCAATGCAGGAGACCCAGTTTCGATCCCTGGGTCAGGATGATCCCCTGGAGAAGGAAGTGGCAACCCACGCCAGTATTCTTGCCTGGAGAATCCCATGGACGGAGGAGCCTGGTAGGCTACAATCCACGGGGTCACAAAGAGTCGGACACGACTGAGCGAATTCACTTCACTTCTTCGTGCCTGCTCTTTGGAATTCAGGGAAGACCTAGGAGACTAAAACTTTTTTCTACAATTAAGAAACTGGGGACATGGAGCAGGTTTTGTACCTGGGAGTGCCTCACAGGGTCCTGCTCAGTTCAGTAGTAAGATCTTAATAATAGGAAATTTGATGTGACATATATGGGAATTCTCTACTATATTTGCAACTTTTCAGTAAATGTATTCTAAAATTTAAAGTTTATTGAAAAGAAAAGGCGGGGGGGGGGGGGGGCTGGAAATAGATGCTTCTAGATTTGGACCCATGAGTCAATGATGTCATTAAAAATCAAAGCTCTTCCTAATTTTCTACAGTACCATCCTAAGGGAGTTAGCTGTTTACCTCTTAGTTTGTTTCCTCATGATCTCAAGATAGTTGCTGAAGCTTCAGGCATAAATGCATAAATGCATTCAAGACAGAGGAAAAGGGGCAGATGAAATAGGTATTTTCCTTTTATGAGGGAGGAAAAATAATGTGTGCTCCCATCTTCTAGATGGGAATTGGTAGATTCTCGTCTTGACCAAACTCTAGGTAGACTACACTCAGCCCTCTTCTCAGTTATGCCTCACCTGGGCCTATAAAATTTACTGGCTCGGCACTAATGATTCCATCCACTCCCCTCTCCCTGCATGAAAAGACTTAAACACTAACATAGTTTCTTATAGCTCAAAGCTGCATGCCTAGGATGACCTTAGTGTCTCACCCCCCTTAAGGAGCTCCAGGCTGCCAAAAGGATTTACTATTTGTTCTAGCCGACACCTGACAAATAGGTCCCTTACTACCCTTTCTTACAGCATGTACTAAAATAGGACTTAAAATTTGTGAGTTCTCTCTCTGTGCATTTGAGATATATATGTATCTCCTGTAACTCAGGACTGAGTCTTTGTCAAGGACCTGAAAACCATTCCTTTGAAATGTAATCAGCAGAAAGGATAGTACCTGGGTCTCCCAGTCTCTTTGTAGCCCTGATGGGCATTTACACTTACCAGGCCTTTCTAATTTCCCCCTAACTCTACACAGGGGCTTCCATTGCCCCTGCATGCTCCCTCAACTTCTCTTTAAAACATCCAGTCACCTCTGTACAAATCCAAGTTGAGTTCAGTTCAAGTCCATAGGATTGCAAAGAGTCGGACTCAACTGAAGCAACTTAGCATGCATGCATGCAGTAATACAACACTGATTAAAATCTGTCCTTACCACTTTAGGGAATACAAGTTGGTGCAGCCGCTATGGAAAACATGGGGAAAATACCGTATTTCACAAATTTATGCACAGTTAAAGCTAATTTAACTATCAGGTTTATGGTCAATGACCTATATCCAGTACTTCCGGGTTACCTTGGTGGATTTCTTCACTCCAAGGCTCTAATTGGAAGGCCCTTAGGAAATTGAAAGAGGTTATGAAGAAGGAATTCACAGGGCCTGGACTCCATCTCAGGCCTGTTCATGCTCATCCTGCTCGGCCACCTCTCCAATGGACTCTGAACTCTGTGCTTAGTCCCTTTGGAAACTACAACAGAAGGATAAGACCCCCTCTGGACAGGGGAAGCTTGAAGATCATATCCAGGTTACTCATCGCCTAAGAGAAAACATAATCTAATCACCCATGCCTCCGGACAGGTCATAAATTTTTTCTGTATCTATCAGAATGTAACCTCAGGCTTATCGATTGTTAACTGGTTGGAATGTAACCGCGGGCTTATTGATTATTGACTGGTTGGAATGTAACCGCGGGCTTATTGATTATTAAATGTTTGAACACATAACACAAGAATGATGGGGTTATTGTGGTTGTATTTACCCTTCCTTTGTTTATGTAAGTCTCAAGGAATTTGGGGTGGTGGGTTCGGACACATATACATGGGGTATAAAAGATTTTCACAAACGCTGGTCGGGGTCCTTGGCTAAGGGGAGACTCTGCCTTGGGCCCACCGGTGTAATAAATTGCACTCCACTATCTGCGTTGTCCTTCTGAGTGAGTTTGTTTCCTGGAACGCGTGGCTACAAATAGTTAGAGTTCTCTTTGGGCAACAACTGAGATTGCTAAAGGGGACTCCATCACTTGGTCAGTTAATAATACCTGCTCTGATCCTGGCCATAAATATAATTTTTTCTTTTAGAGTCATGCAGGCTCAATCAGAACAACTAACTGAATCTCTCTCAAAAATCATAACCTTCCTCAGTTATGGGATGGACTCATGTGGTTAACACCAAGCTATGGTCATTGAAGCCTAAAGGCTCCTTTATGTTGTGATTGTGCCATTGTACTATAACTTTGTGAAAACATTACTGTTGAGGAAACTGGGTAAAGTATAAGGAATTTCTGTATTATTTCTTACTACTGTTCGTGAATCTACAACCATCTCAATAAAGTTTCGTCAAAAAGCAGAGGTCTTTCCCTGATTATTAGTTTTGTTTTTTGCAACTGATTGGAAAAATTCCTTGAAGTTGTAATATAATTGGAAACTATCTAAAGCATAGATGTTCAAAGGAAGTTTCTGCTGTGATGGAAAGTGATATCTGCGCTGCCTAGTACAGCAGTCACTAACACATGGACTACTCAGCACTTGCAATGTTGTTAGTGGAACTAACAGACTGAATTTTGATTGTATTATTTTGATTAAAATTACATTTAAGTAGTCACTAGCTTCTGGCTATCATGAGTGTGGACAAAGAATGTTACCTACCATTTCAGTAAATAGAGGATACTGAGGCCATCGAGTCATTAGCCACTGAAGCCACCCCAACGGTGCACCCAGAAAAGAATTCACAGCAGAGGAAAACAGCAGACTGGCCCTAGATAGAGTTCAGTTCAGTTCAGTTCAGTCGCTCAGTCCTATTCGACTCTTTGCAACCGCATGAACCGCAGCACACAGGCCTCCCAGTCCATCACAAACTCCCAAACTCATGCCCATTGAGTCGGTGATGCCATCCAAACATGAGGATGGGGCTCAGTTTTAAACTGAGCGTTTAACATAGAGAACACGACCAATCAGAATGATCTCTGCTTCCAGGCCGCAAGTCGCCAGCAGCAACTTTTCAGCAGGACTGTTGTGAAAACTGCAGAAAGTCCCTCTCTACAGACCCTTCACCGCTGGGAACGCCAGGTAGAGGCCAGCCCCTTGGGGCGGAGCTTGCGTCCGCGCCTGCGCGCTCAGCCCAGGCGCCCCGGGGGTGGGTCCTGCCCGTGATCGCTCTGCGCAATGCATATCGCGCAGACGCCGAGACGCGCAACTCCCTACTGAAGGTACCTCAACAGCCAGCAGAGCGGCCATGTCGTCCTCCACCCGCGTGGCGCTGGTGACCGGGGCCAACAAGGGCATCGGCCTCGCCATCGTGCGTGACCTGTGCCGGGAGTTCAAGGGGGACGTGGTGCTCACGGCGCGGGACGAGGCGCGGGGTCGGGCGGCCGTGCAGCAGCTGCAGGCGGAGGGCCAGAGCCCCCGTTTCCACCAGCTGGACATCAACGACCTGCAAAGCATCCGCTCCCTACGCGACTTTCTGCGCGAGGAGTACGGGGGCCTCGACGTGCTGGTCAACAACGCGGGCATCGCCTTCAAGAGTAAGAAGCGGCTGGGTGCTCCAGGAGAGGCGGTCACCCCCTCTGAGCATCTCTGTCCAGGAGGGACCAAATCTGTCGGGGAATCGCTGTAGAGGGGCTTCTCCCGCCTGTGGGGTCCAGAATGACTCCCCAGGGAAGGAGAAGGGAAGGGGGACGGAGTGCGGCTAGAGGAATTGGGAGGAATTGGATGCTCTCTAGCCGGAGAGAACTTTCTGTTTCTCTGGCTCAGAATGCTGGGCACCTTTTTCCAGGCTGTTGCACAGCCCCTTTCTGATACACAGAGGTCCCATGTGTGCACCCTTTGTACAGCGCCCTGCCAGTGGTGCGTTCTTACAAAACCATACTTCATTATCAAACCGGGAAATTCACACTGGTACAATACTGAATGTATTGTGCACAAAATTCAACAGATTTTTACCTTCACTAGTTTTACACAAAATCCAAGAGATTTATCTTGTGGAATGTTACACCACACAAGAACTGTTTATTGACTCCACTTTCCTTTTCTCCTGAAAGCTGCTGATACCACACCATTTCATATTCAAGCAGAGGTGACTATGAAAACAAACTTCTTTGGCACCAGAAATGTGTGCACAGAGCTCCTGCCTCTAATAAAGCCCCAAGGTGAGTCTGATTGGAGCCCAGACTGCAGTGCTTCTGGCAAGATCTGGGCGCACCTGGCTCTGGTCTCATCTGCAGGCCCCCTACCACTCCTGCTCAGCTTCGCTGGCCTCCACCGTGTCTCCACCCAGGCGGGTGTCCTGCACCTGAGGCTCCCCCACACACTGCCCAGGTCCTTGGTGCTGTCTGTCCACCTGCTTTTTGCACAGCTGGCTCTTTCTTCTCTTTCCCGTCTTAGCTCAGAGGTTTCCTCCTCCAAGAGGCCCTTGACTTGCTCTGTGCCCATCTCAGGGGGAGTTCCCTCAGGAGTGCTTCCCAGACCTTCTCTCCCTTGTCCCCCTCTTAGCCAGGCTAGTGGAGCCCGCACCACCACCAGTTCAGTAGCACACCACCCCACCCCCAACCAAAGACTTGTCCTTTCCCCAAAACATCTTGGTCACCAATCCTGTCATCCACCCACCAGGAACCTGGAGGCCACCCTGCCCATAGTGGGAGGTAAGCCTGCCTGGTTATTGTCATCACCAGGTCCTAAATTCGTCCAGCTGAGTTTCTCCGCAGGCGTCTGCCCCATCCCAGCTCTACAAACAGGCCCTCAGCTGTTGTTTCTAAACACTTGTAAACCCTCCTAAGGGGCCGCCTGCCCTTCTTGAATCCTTTTTTTTCTCTGCAGGCTCACTGCCCCTCCCAAAAACCCTGCAAGTGTGAGTTCAAGTCGTTAGTGTGGCTAATAGAGATCTCTCTCTTTTTTTTTTTTCCATTTATTTTTATTAGTTGGAGGCTAATTACTTCACAACATTTCACTGAGTTTTGTCATACATTGACATGAATCAGCCATGGAGTTACATGTATTCCCCATCCCGATCCCCCCCCCCACCTCCCCCTCCACCCGATTCCTCTGGGTCTTCCCAGTGCACCAGCCCCGAGCACTTGTCTCATGCATCCCACCTGGGCTGGTGATCTGTTTCACTATGGATAATATACATGCTGTTCTTTCGAAACATCCCACCCTCGCCTTCTCCCAGAGTCCAAAAGTCTGTTTTGTACATCTGTGTCTCTTTTTCTGTTTTGCATATAGGGTTATCATTACCATCTTTCTAAATTCCATATATATGTGTTAGTATGCTGTAATGTTCTTTATCTTTCTGGCTTACTTCACTCTGTATAACGCGCTCCAGTTTCATCCATCTCATCAGAACTGATTCACATCTGAGATCTCTAATCTGATAACTGAGCTTTCAGGGAAGGAAGTCCTAACCTCCTAGGTACACTTGCCAGGAACTGAACCTCTGCAGCGGGTATCTGAGGAAGAGGATGAGAAACGCTGACGTCGTCCCCATCTTGGGAAGATACCACAGCCCCTTGGCAGGGAGGGAGCACCATCGCAGAGTGAAGTTTCCATTGTTATGGTCGGAAAGGAGGAGAGGAAGGAGCAGTCATGGTTGAAATAGATTCTCTCTGTTCTCACCTGAGTTATTGGAGATAGCCTGGGAAAAAAGTTGCATTTGCTGTCTTCCCTCGGGACCATTTCCAGAGACTTCAAACAGTTGAGTTTTGAAAATAATTTTCACAAGACATTCTGGGTAGTAGATTCACAGACTTCTTCCTTTGGTCATGACTTATTTATTGAGTCTGAGTGAAACATTTCATTCCTATAATTTTTAAAATAATTAGATGTAATTTTTTAAAACATCAGAGTAATACTTATATTACTTATATATCTGTTACTTATAATAATAAAACAAAGATAACCCAATGATACATTCTCTTCCTTCCCTAATGTCCTCTTTCATGAGGTCAGTCCTGTCCCCAGTTGGACATTCATCCTTCTCATGCTCGCCTTTCTATGTACTGATTTGAGTTGTATTTTAGGCAGAGTGGTGAATGTATCCAGCTTCGTCAGTGTCAACTCTCTAAAGAAATGCAGCCCTGAACTGCAGCAGAAGTTTCGAAGTGAGACCATCACGGAGGAGGAGCTGGTGGGGCTCATGAACAAGTTTGTGGAAGACACAAAGAGCGGGGTGCATAGGAAGGAGGGCTGGCCCGACACGGCGTATGGAGTGACGAAAATCGGAGTCACAGTCCTGTCCAGAATCCATGCCAGGAAACTGAGTGAGCAGAGAGGAGGGGACAAGATCCTCCTGAACGCCTGCTGCCCAGGGTGGGTGAGAACCGACATGGCAGGACCCAAAGCCCCCAAAAGCCCAGAAGAAGGAGCAGAGACCCCCGTGTACTTGGCCCTTTTGCCCTCAGATGCAGAGGGGCCTCATGGAGAGTTTGTTTCTGAGAAAAAAGTGGTGCAATGGTGAGCTCCACCCATGGTTCCATTTATATTGCTATCCCTGACTCACCAAACACTGACAAAATTATCCCTATGCAGAGAAAAAGAAAAAAGAAAGTGTCCAGATCAAGTTCTCACTGGGAGAGGGCTGCTAATATTGTAAAGAGTTTTGTGATTTCTTCTGTGATCCCAGGGGAGGAAAATTGGGATGGATGACAAATAATAAAAATAAATAATTCTTTATAAATGTTCATTTGTGTCAACTCTTTAATGGTGAGTCTGCTCCATTATTAGTAATAGTTGGACCTAGTTGGGTGGACATGTGGGTGTCTAGTATTAGTTCTACTTTTCTATTTAAAACTTTTCAGGATAAAGATCTAGAACCAGAGAGTCCCAGCTCTGCCCCCTTCCTGCATGACCTTGAGCAAAAATCCAACAAGATACTACTACCTAACACAGGGAAACCAGCTCAGTGTTAAGTGGCAGCCTGGGAGGGAGGGGAGACGGGAGAACCGATAGATGTATATGTGTGGCTGAGTGCCTGTGCTGTCCACCTGAGACTGTTGTGACAGTTCACAACGTTGTCAATCAGCTATGAAAGTGTCGTCACCCAGTCTTGTCTAGCTCTTTGCCATCCCATGGACTGTGGCCCACCTGGCTCCTCTGTCCATGGGGTTTCCCAGGCAAGAATACCGGAGTCAGTTGCCATTTATTTCACTAGGGAATCCTCCTGACGCAGGGATCAAACCCGGGTCTGCAGCACTGCAGGCAGATTCTATGCTGTCTCAGCCACCAGGGAAGCCCTGTTCTCCAATATAAAATAAAAAGTTTAAAGAAAGAGGGCTGTGTCCTCTTTTTTGGCTCAAGGTACAGTCCCAGGAAGGAGGTGGAGCCTGGAGTGGTGTTTATTAACCTTACGGAACGTCTGATCCCTCCTCAAGCGGGGAGAAAGCGGCAGAGCCGCCTGCCTTCTGGGACTGCGACGGGTCTCCACGTCCCACGCCGCGCCACCCCGTCGGTCTCCAGCCTTGTCAGCTCCACTCCAAGGGGCCCTGCACACCGGCCATGTCCTCCACCCGCGTGGCGCTGGTCACCGGGGCCAACAAGGGCCTCGGTCTTGCCATCGTGCGTGACCTGTGTCGGCGGTTCCCGGGGGACGTGGTGCTCACGGCGCGGGACGAGGCGCGGGGTCGGGCGGCCGTGCAGCAGCTGCAGGCGGAGGGCCGGAGCCCCCGTTTCCACCAGCTGGACATCACTGACCTGCACAGCATCCGCGCCGTGCGCGACTTCCTGCGCGAGGAGTACGGGGGCCTCGACGTGCTGGTCAACAACGCGGGCATCGCCTTCCAGAGTAAGTGGGTGGGAGCTGGGGGCGCGGGGCGGGGCTCCTGCCTGAACCTCCGCTGTGGGATCTAGAACCCCCTCCCTAGGGATGGAGCACAGGCTGGAGGTCACAGGAAGAGCAGGTCCTCCGAGATTACAAGCTTTGCCAGCAAGAAGGCCTTGCAATAGCTTTGATCAGGCTAAAGGACAATGCCCAGATTTTCATAGTATTGATTTCACTGAACTTTGGATGAGTTGGGTGAAATGCCCAGATTTTCATAGTATTGATTTCACTGAACTTTGGATGAGTTGGGTGAATTTTTAACTTCTGAAACCAATTTAAAATTGCAGAGTGGTACACAGGAGTTCATATGGGCTTTTTTCACTCAGCCTCCCCTGATGATACCATCTTACATAAGTATATAGCATTATCAAACCACAAAACACTCATTGGTGCAATACCGTTCACTAACACCAAACACTACTGGACGAAAACAGATTTCATGGAAAAAATACTGTATCAAGTAAGCATTTTTACCATATGGCTTGTGTTTCTTAGCCCTATTCTTTTTCTATCCTAAAAGTTGGTGATCCCACACCGATTGCAATTCAGGCAGAAGTGACCATGAACACAAACTTCCTTGGTACCCGAGATGTGTGCACAGAGCTCCTGCCTCTGATAAAAAGCCGAGGTGAGTATGACGGAGCCCAGACTGCAGGGTTTCTGGCAAGATCGGAGCCCACCTGCATCCAGTCTAGTCTCCGGACTCCCTACCTCTCCTTCTCAGCTGCACAGATTTCCAGCGGTGTGTGCACTTGGCAGGATGCCTAGTGGGCTCTGGTTCCTCTGCACACGGCCCGAGTGGTTGGTGCTCTCTGTCCATCTGCACTTTGCACATTTGGCTCTTTCTTCTCTTCCCATCTTAGTTCAAAGGTCTCCTCCAAGAGGCCCTTCACGTGCTCCATGCCCATCACAGGGGGTGTCCTCTCAGGACTCTTTCCCAGACCTCCTCTCCCCCGTGCCCCTCTCAGAGTGACCTGATTTGGGTTTGTGGTGCTCATACTACCACATTCATTAGGCCCCTGAAGACTTTTCCGCTTCCGGTCACCAGGGTGTTTCTTCCTATGGTACTGACATGGTAGATTACCAATACTGGTTTCTAGATGCTAAGTACATCAAGTATACATACTTTGGTCTTTAAAGTTCAGGAAGTCCCCAGACCGTCCTCAAGTTCAATAATTCACTGTAAGGACCAAGAACTCAGCAAAAGCTATTATATTCAAAGGGACATGATTTTAGAAAAGTGGACAGTTACTCAGTTCAGCAGTGGTAACGGTCTCATGGCCCAGGGTCGAAGAAAGCCCAGTATGGAGCTGTGGCTTGACATCTCCCCACAGTTCCTGGGGGCAGCACGTATTTCTCCCCCAAACAGCCTGTGTCAGACACAAGGGGTATTACCAACCAGTGGGCTCATGCCAACCTTGATGTCCAGGGTTCTTGGTGAGGGGTGGTCAGGCAGGCATGGCCCGCTGCCCTCCTGGCTGGCCCTGCTCTCCAGCCCCTCCAGAGGTCCAGCTGATACCAGGTAGGCCACGGCCCCCACCATACTCACACGTGAACATGGATTAGGTAACCTGACTCTCAAACAAGTCATGAGGACAGTCTTCTCAGACAAGGACTTTCAGGCTTCAGTATTATGTCCCAGATGTCCTGGAATAGGGCTGAAGCTTCCTCTGGCCAACTTAGCCCTTTACTTATAGAGAACACCCTCTGGACCTTCACTAAGGCTCCCTTACCTCAAAAGGATCATTGAGCATCTAAATTTAGCGTAGAACTTTTTTTAACAGATACAGAAAGAGTACAGAAATACATCTCTCATCGGGAGCAGCCAGAGTGCAGTTGGAGTAATTTAGAGGAACAGATATTCCAGCTTCTAGAGCCACTACTTCCATTTTCATGTGTTTCTATTTATACTAATTTGCTTCTAATTTTTATCAGAAGATAGTTGCCTTGCAATATTGTGGTGGTTTCTGCCATACAAGAATATGAATCAGCCACAGGTATACATATGTCCCCTCCCTCCAGAACCCTCTCCCTCCTCCCACCCCATCCACCCCTCTAGGTTGTCACAGAGCACTGGGGTGATCTCCCTGAGTCACACAGCACATTCCGCCTGGCTCCCTATTTTACATATGGCAATGGGTATGTTTCTGTGATACTCTCTCAATTCCCCCCACCCTCTCCTTCCCTCCCTGTATTCACAAGTCTGTTCTCTCCATCTGTGTCTCCACTGCCACCCTGCAAATACGTTCATCAGTACCATCTTTCTACTTTCCATACACCTGCATTAATATGCAATATTTATCTTTTTCTTTCTGACTTACTTCACTCTGTATAGTAGGCTCTAGGTTCCTCCACCTTGTTGATACTTACTTGATTCTCATCTTGATCAACTGCTACTTGTACCTTCAGTTCAGTTCAGTTGCTCAGTCGTGTCTGATTCTTTGTGATCCCATGGACTACAGCACGCCAGGCCTCCCTGTCCATCACCAACTCCCAGAGTCTACCCAAACCCGAGTCCATTGAGTCGGTGATGCCATCCAACCATCTCATCCTCTGTCGTCCCCTTCCTCTCCTGCCCTCTATCTTTCCCAGCATCAGGGTCTTTTCAGATGAATCAGCTCTTTGCATCAGAAGGCCAAAGTATTGGAGTTTCAGCTTCAGCATCAGTCCTTCCAATGAACATTCAGGACTGATCTCCTTTAGGATGGACTGGTTGGATCTCCTTGCCACACAGGGGACTCTCAAGGGTCTTCTCCAACACCACAGTTCAAAAGCATCAATTCTTCAGCGCTCAGCTTTTTATTTAACATAAAACTGTGCAGTCTATTTAGTATTGTTACGAGAGAAAAAGAGGCAAAAAAAAAATTCTTTTAGTTTGAAACAAGAGACTGTTTGAATGGGAAACCACCAAACCAGACATAGTGAGGATGGCTCCACTGACAGGCACTCAGGAAGAGACTATTGTGGAGAAAAGGCTGACGCAAAGTAAGGAAATTGTGGACTGTCTTCAGCTTCTGGCCCAGGTAACTCTTTGTGACTATCAGTCCTTAGGTTCCCATTTTGTCACCTTGAGGCATTTTCAGGCTTCTGTTTTGGTTTGCTGACAGAGGCCACCAAGGAATTAGAGCCAGCTCAGCCTAATGACCTTCGTATTTAACTCATTTACATCATGGAAACTGGCTCATGATTAGCTATGCCGAGTTCTTCATCAACTAGTTATTTTCCATTAGTATTACACCCAGCAGAGATTTTACCTCCATCTCCCATCACACTTGATCATCAGTATCAGTATCTTCCTATGGCTCCTTTACATGTGAGAGTTGAATATTACCAGCAAGGCCAGTGATAACCCATATCACAGGACAGTAAGTAGAACATGTGACCTGAAAACTAACACTCAAGAGATGCTGGCACCTGGCTACAGAAACACTCAGTGATTAATGATTGGTTCACTCCATCACCATGTCTTATAAAAATATCCTACAGAGATCCCAGGGCTTCTGCTTGACTTTCAGTTCAGTCCATTTGTTCAGCAGTGTCCAACTGTTTGTAAACCCTTGGACTGCAGCATGCCAGGTCCCCCTGTCCATCACCAGCTCCTGGAGTTTACTCAAACTCATGTCCATTGAGTCGGTAAAACCATCCAATCATGTCATCATCTGTCATTCCCTTCTCCTCAAACCTTCAATCTTTCCCAGCATCAGGGTCTTTTCAGATGAGTCAGCTCTTCACATCAAAGTATTGGAGTTTCGGTTTCAGCATCAGTCCTTCCAATGAATATTCAGGACTGATTTCCTTTGGCTGGACTGGTTGGATCTCCTTGCAGTCCAAGGGACTCTCAAGAGTCGTCTCCAGCGCCAGTTTAAAAGCATCAATTCTTCGGCGCTCAGTTTTCTTTATGGTCCAACTCTCACATCCATGCTTGACTTTCGCAGGTCCCAAAGCAGGAGTGACCTTGACTGCAGGTAGCTTCACTCCATCAGGCATCTGGGATAAGTGAGCTAAGAGAGGATATCATCTCCTGCTCTCAGCGTAATATTGATTTCTCTCATTGCATAACCTATTTAAACATTCTCATTTCCATTCCCCCTACTCCCCATTTTTCATCGACTTTTACCCAGACTTTCTCATCTTTCAAAGGGATGTTAAGTTCAGTCACTGCTCATGCTGACTGCCCTCAGCAATACTAGCCTAACAAGCGCCTCCCCTTAATCCACTCCCATCACACAGGTGGGGTTACACAGGCCCAGACTGGCGGACTCTCAGCCTCTGACTAGACAATACAGCTGCAGTTGCTGTCCCTCCAAATTGGTCAGATAGGTGAAGACACAGTCCATTTCATCAGGCCCTTTGGAATTCTGACAAAAAGCTAAATTTATAGTTAACTTTCTTGCTTGCCAATTATCCCCTGACTTCTATATCATCAATTGCAGCCTGGTCCCAGAACTACAGTGTGGCCAGAAAAATGAAATTTGAAATGAAGTAGGGGAAAGGACTGTAGAGTCACCCTGGCATCCTCCACACCTCTTCTTCCCCAGAGGAGAAAGGAGTCTATCTGGAGGCTTCTTCCAAGGCTCCCATCGTGCTGACTGTGGGCATAAGCTCACGAATGTCTGTGAGCCAACGTTTGAGACAACCAGAGTTTCATATCCAGTCCCAATTCTGTGTCAAACCTCTATTCTGAGCGTGAAAGTGTGCTCCCTGGCCTCAGGAATATGCCTCATCAGTCCAAATCATGCAGTGTCTTCTCCAATACCATAATACAACTTGGGCACAAGGATCTACTGCCGGCTACACGGAGCCATGCCCACAGACAGCATCTCACCTCATCAGGACATTTTCTACCTTCCCAGGGCTACTACCTGCAACTCGCCTGCTCTGTGCCGATCCTTTGGCTCAAAGAATATGACTCATGCCATGCAAAGACTTTTTCTGTCATGCTGTCAGATACAGCAGGAATGGGAGAGGCATGGATGAACAAGGATCCCATCTCTGCATTCCTGCAGCACCCTGTTTGCACTCATCTCATGGGGCCAGGCCCCAGTTCGATTCCTGGGTTGGGAAAATCCACTGGTGAAGGGATAGGCTACCCACTCCAGTATTCTTGGGCTTCCCTTGTGAATCAGCTGTTAAAAGAATCCACCTGCAATGCAGGAGACCCGGGTTTGATCCCTAGGTTGGAAAGATACCCTGGAGAAGGGGAAGGCTACCCACTCCAGTATTCTGGCCTGGAGAATTCCATGGACAGTATAGTCCATGCGGTTGCACAGTCAGACACGACTGAGCAACTTTCACTTTCACGGGGCCAGTTAGCACTTCAAATAAGCACACCTGAAAATGCTCAGTGGTTCCAACTGCCTTCCAATTTTGGAAGTGGTTCTTCTGATGAGCCTTAAGTAGTTGTACTTTAATTCCTCCTAACCTCCCATTTGATTCCCAGAGTGTCATGCTCATGTGACCGTCCATTAAATAGTCCAGTTTCCACTGCCCGCCTCTGTCCTCATACAGCCAGGACTTGAGTCACCACTCCCGAGCTGACATAAACCTGAACCCAAAGAAACAAGCATCAGTTCAGCCCTCTGAACGGAGCTGATTTCACCGTCCTTCAACCTGATGCTCCCTGGTCAACTTGGAACTGCCATCCACAAACCCATCAGCACTTTGCTGGTCAACAGAGGCCTGGCCTAGAACCCTGCCCAAGTGACCTAAGGTCCTCAGCTGGTTCCAGAGAAGACCTTTGAGAAAAAGCTGCTGTCTGCTCCTGATGCAATAAAGACTCCTCCAACGTTTGGAGCTCTTTCCTCGATATACCGTTTTCATTTGCTTATGGAAATCGGGGCACTGCCCTCCCCATTATAACATATCTTTCTCTTTAGTTACCCTAGGATCATGGTTAGGGCAGTTTACAAGACTGTCTAACACCCTTCACTCATAGTGAAGTGAAGTGGAAGTTGCTCAATTGTGCCCAAATCGTTGCAACCCCATGGACTATACAGTCCATGGAATTCTCCAGACCAGAATACTGGAGTGAGTGGCCATTCCGTATTCCAGGGGATCTTCCCAACCCAGGGATCGAACTCAGGTCTCCCACATTGCAGACAGATACTTCACTCACAGATACAGTCTTAATTCATCTCATAGGAAACTGGTAACTGGCTCTCCAGGGGGAATTGAGTCCACCATCTCAGCAAATTATGTATTCATTCTCATACATCAGTTCAGTTCAGTTCAGTCACTCAGTCATGTCTGACTCTGTGACCCCATGAATCGCAGCACGCCAGGCCTCCCAGTCCATCACCAACTCCCGGAGTTTACTCAAACTCATGCCCATTGAGTCAGTGATGCCATTCAGCCATCTCATCCTCTGTTGCCCCCTTCTCATCCTGCCCCCAATCCCTCCCAGCATCAGGGTCTTTTCAAATGAGTCAACTCTTCGCATGAGGTGGCCAAAGTACTGGAGTTTCAGCTTCAGCATCAGTCCTTCCAATGAACACCCAGGACTGACCTCCTTTAGGATGGACTGGTTGGATCTCCTTGCAGTCCAAGGGACTCTCAAGAGTCTTCTCCAACACCACAGTTCAAAAGCATCAATTTTTCGGTGCTCAGCTTTCTTCACCATCCAACTCTCACATCCATACATGACCACTGGAAAAACCATAGCCTTGACCAGATGGACCTTTGCTAGCAAAGTAATGTCTCTGCTTTTTAATATGCTATATAGGTTGGTTATAACTTTCCTTCCAAGGAGTAAGCGTCTTTTAATTTCATGGCTGCAGTCACCATCCACAGTGATTTTGGAGCCCCAAAAATTAAAGTTTGACATGGTTTCCACTGTCTCCCCATCTATTTCCCATGATGTGATGGGACTAGATGCCATGATCTTAGTTTTCTGAATGTTAAGCTTTAAGCCAACATTTTCACTCTCCTCTTTCACTTTCATCAAGAGGCTTTTTAGTTCCTCTTCACTCTCTGCCATAAGGGTGGTGTCATCTGCATATCTGAGGTTATTGACATTTCCCCTGGCAATCTTGATTCCAGCTTGTGCTTCTTCCAGCCCAGCATTTCTCATGATGTACTCTGCATACAAGTTAAATAAGCAGCATGACAATATACAGCCTTGATGTACTCCTTTTCCTATTTGGAACCAGTCTGTTGTTCCATGTCCAGTTCTAACTGTTGCTTCCTGACCTGCATACAGGTTTCTCAAGAGGCAGGTCAGGTGGTCTGGCATTCCCATCTCTTTCAGAAGTTCCCACAGTTTATTGTGATCCACACAGTCGAAGGCTTATGGCATAGTCAATAAAGCAGAAATAGATGTTTTTCTGGAACTCTCTTGCTTTTTCGATGATCCGTCGGATATTGGCAATTTGATCTCTGGTTCCTCTGCCTTTTCTAAAACCAGCTTAAACATCTGGAAGTTCTCGGTTCCCGTATTGCTGAAGCCTGGCTTGGAGAATTTTGAGCATTACTTTACTAGATTAAGAGATGTGTGCAATTGTGCAGTAGTTTGAGCATTCTTTGGGATTGCCTTTCTTAGGGATTGGAATGAAAAGTAACCTTTTCCAGTCCTGTGGCCACTGCTGAGTTCTCCAAATTTGCTGGCATATTGAGTGCAGCACTTTCACAGCATCATCTTTCAGGGTTTGAAATAGCCCAACTGGAATTCCATCACATCCACTAACTTTGTACATAGTGATGCTTTCTAATGCCCACTTGACTTCACATTCCAAGATGTCTGGCTCTAGGTCAGTGATCACACCATTATGATTATCTGGGTCATGAAGATCTTTTTTGTACAGTTCTGTGTATTCTTGCCACTTCTTCTTAACATCTTCTGCTTCTGTTAGGTCCATACCATTTCTGTCCTTTATCAAACCCATCTTTGCCTGAAATGTTCCCTTGATATCTCTAATTTTCTTGAAGAGATCTCTACTCTTTCCCATTCTGTTATTTTCCTCTATTTCTTTGCATTGATCAGTGAGGAAGGCTTTCTTATCTCTCCTGGCTATTCTTTGGAACTCTGCATTCAAATGGGAATATCTTTCCTTTTCTCCTTTGCTTTTCGCTTCTCTTCTTTTCACAGCTATTTGTAAGCCCTCCTCAGACAACCATTTTGCCTTTTTGCATTTCTTTTCCATGGGGATGGTCTTGATCCCTGTCTCCTGTACAATTTCATGAACCTCTGTCCACAGTTCATCAGGCTCTCTGTCTATTAGATCTAGTCCCTTAAATCTGTTTGTCACTTCCACTGTATAGTCATAAGGGATTTGATTTAGGTCATATCTGAATGGTCTAGTGGTTTTCCCTACTTTCTTCAGTTTAAGTCTGAATTTGGCAATAAGGAGTTCATGATCTGAGTCACAGTCAGCCCCCGGTCTTGTTTTTGCTGACTGTATAGAGCTTCTCCATCTTTGGCTGCAAAGAATATAATCAATCTGATTTTGGTATTGACCATCTGGTGATGTCCATGTGTAGAGTCTTCTCTTGTGTTGTTGGAAGAGGGTGTTTGCTATGACCAGTGTGTTCTCTTGGCAAAACTCTATTAGCCTTTGCCCTGCTTCACTCCATACTCTAAGGCCAAATTTGCCTGTTACTCCAGGGGTTTCTTGACTTCCTACTTTTGCATTCCAGTCGCCTATAATGAAAAGGACATCTTTTTTGGGTGTTAGTTCTAAAAGGTCTTGTAGGTCTTCATAGAACTGTTCAAATTCAGCTTCTTCAACATTACTGGTTGGGGCATAGGCTTGGATTGCTGTGGTATTGAATGGTTTCCTTAGAAACGAACAGAGATCATTCTGTCATTTTTGAGATTGCATCCAAGTACTTCATTTCCGACTCTCTTGTTGACTATGATGGCTACTCCATTTCTTCTAAGGGATTCCTGCCCACAGTAGTAGATATAATGGTCATCTGAGTTAAATTCACCCATTCCAGTCCACCTTAGTTCGCTGACTCCTAAAATGTCGACACTCACTCTTGCCATCTCCTGTTTGACCACTTCCAGTTTCCCTTGGTTCATGGACCTAACATTCCAGGTTCCTATGCAATATTGCTCTTTACAGCAGCGGACCTTGCTTCTATCACCAGTCCCATCCACAACTGGGCGTTGTTTTTGCTTTGGCTCCATCCCTTCACTCTTTCTGGAGTTATTTCTCCACTGATCTCCATTAGCATATTGGGCACCTACCGACCTGGGGAGTTCCTCTTTCAGTATCCTATCATTTTGCCTTCCCATACTGTTCATGGGGTTCTCAAGGCAAGAATACTGAAGTGGTTTGCCATTCCCTTCTCCAGTGGACCACGTTCTGTCAGACCTCTCCACCATGACCCATCGTCTTGGGTGGCCCCACACGGGATGGCTTAGATTCATTGAGTTAGACAAGACTCTGGTCCATGTGATCAGATTGGCTAGTTTTCTGTGATTATGGTTTTAATGTGTCTGCCCTCTGATGTGCTCTCGCAACACCTATGGTCTTACTTGGGTTTCTTTTACCTCAGACATGGGGTATCTTCTCACAGCCGCCTCGGTGTACTGGGAAAGCAGTGGCCACGTACACCCGCCTCCAGGCCCCGCCTGGAGCCATACCTTCCAAGTAATGGTTTGTGTTGCATTTTAGGCAGAGTGGTGAATATGTCTAGCGGATGGGGCTTCAAAGCTCTTGAAAGCTGCAGCCCTGAACTGCAGCAGAAATTGAGAAGTGAGTCCATCACGGAGGAGGAGCTGGTGGGGCTCATGAACAAGTTTGTGGAAGACACAAAGAATGGGGTGCAGAGGAACGAGGGCTGGCCGGATGATAATATATATGGAGTGGTGAAAATCGGCGTCACGGCCCTGTCCAGAATCCAAGCCAGGAAGCTGAGTGAGCAGAGAGGAGGAGACAAGATCCTCCTGAATGCCTGCTGCCCAGGGTGGGTGAGAACCGACATGGGGGGACCCAAAGCCTTCAAAAGCCTAGAAGAAGGAATAGAGACCCCTGTGTACTTGGCCCTTCTGCCCTCGGATGCCGAGGGGCCTCATGGACAGTTTGTCCATGAGAAGAAAGTTGCAAAATGGCAATTCATGCCACAGTTCTACCCAAAGTTCTAAGCCCCACTTTGTTACCTGTCCTGATTAGACTAAGAAAACACAGTGTTCAAAATATCTCCCTGTGAAAAAAATCAAACATGCCTACCTCTATGTAAATTTCAAAGCCACTTTGAAATGGCTAATATTCTGTGAGATCTTTTGTGATTTCTTATGTGATCCCAGGGAATAAAAGAAGAATGGATGACAAATAATGAATAAACATCAACAGATGAATACATGATTCTTTATAAATATTCGTTTGTTCCAACTGATTATACGTCAAACCAGCTCAGAAGTCTAATAGACCAAAATGTAGGTCAAGGAAAGTGAGAGTACAACTTGGGGAAAGAATTATCATCCATAGGGCCAGATGGGAAATACTTTTAGTTTTCAGGTTCAAGTGGTCTCTGTGAGAACTGTTCACCTCCTCTCTTTCACCATGAAAGTACCCAGAGACAATATAGAAGCCAACGAGCATGGCCATATTGGGTCTGCCAGCTTTAGCTGACCAGCCTCTGGTATAACATGGACCACATCATGAGGGGAAAACATCTGCTCTGGTGCCTGTAAATGCCAAACTCATTGGGGGAAAAAAAAATTGTACATGTGAAATGTGAGGGAGCGCTGGTATGAAAGATAACATGCTACAAGAATCTGAGACAATGGGGGAAATGGAGAATGGATGGGTAAGATGGGTATGAGAGATCACGGTCAAATCTCTTCAGGGTGAATGTGTCATTTTTGTGGGATGAGGTGTCAGGAGGTCTGCAACATTAGCATGCTTCTGCAAACTATACACAGCAGTGGAACATATAACTAGAGTGACATATCCATCACAGTTGAACCTAGCTGGGAGGACGCCTGGCGCCCACTTCACTGTGCTTTCAACTTTCTGTTTAAAATCTTTGAACCAGAACAGCCTGCCTCCGCCCTTTCCTGTCTGACCCTGAGCAAAATCCCGCGTCTACTGTATACCCTAAATCGTAAAATGAAGAGAACTGTTATGGGATTGCTGTAAATTATCCAGATATCGGTGATAGTGCTGAAAACACACTGGAGGGGCCAAGTGTCGCATATCATGAGTCCCTGTAAGAGGGGGCCAGCTGCATGCAAGGCATTGATGAGAAGCTTCCTTCTGCCCAGAACCACGCCTGGCTCCCCAAGGCCCCAAGGGCTGTCCACCACATCCCCTCTTCACAGAAGCTCCATGTTGTACAGACGCCCCTACTATCATGGTTACCTGTCACTTTCCACCTCTGATTGTCAGCCCTGGGGGAGCAACAGCCCCTGAAGGCAAAGGCAGGGCCCTTCCTGAAGAGTCAGGTTGACTTCACAACTGTAGGCCTTCAACTAGTCTGTTATTTTCCTCCTCCCCCTGCACCCCACACCATATGACAACAGAGAATTATCAGTGTCTAGATCAACAGTCAGCATCACATCTGCTAGTTTGGAAATGGACAGGGGAATCGCAATGATCATGCATCCTTAGTTCCAGAAAAATAAAGCCCATGTGATTAACCAGTTGTTAACTGTGACCTAAGACAAATCAAAATGTATGCACTTTCAACAAACCTAAGGATATGTAACTTTGAAGTACAACATTCCAAATTATGACCCTGCACACAGTAAGAGGTTCATAAACAACCCTTCAATATTGAATTCCACAGTCAGATAGCCTGCCCACACTGAAAGTCTAATCACAGGACCTATTGTCAAAAGCTGAGTTTCTATCAAGAGAGCAGGCAGAGCTATGTCCTTAGAAGTGGTTGTTCAGTCTCTCACTCATGTCCAACTCTTTGTGTCCTCATGGACTGCAGCATGCCAGGCTTCCCTGTCCTTCACCATCTCCTGGAGCTTGCTCAGACTCATGTCCATTGAGTCAGTGATGCCATCCAACCATCTCATCCTCTGTTGCCCACTTCTCCTCTTGCCTTCAGTCTTTCCCAGCATCAGAGTCTTTTCCAATGAGTCGGCTCTTTGCATCAGGTGACCAAAGTATTGGAGCTACAGCTTCAGCATCAGTCCTTCCAATGAATATTCAGGGTTGATTTCCTTTAGGATGGACTGGTTTGATCTCCTTGTTGTCCAAGGGACTCTCAAGAGTCCCCTCCAACACCACAGTTCAAAAGTTACGCTATGTAGTTTCATTGCATCTTAGGAAGAAGTAACCATACCAATTCTGCGGGTTTGATGGACCCAGCACAAGACAATAAGTGCACTCCTTCCTCCTTTTGGAGACCTACACATGCACGCATGCAGCACCTCTAATGACTTTTATTCCTCTGCCAGGAATCCCTAGTCCCCTAATGTCCCTTCACCAAGCAGTTTTGTTTGGAGGAAGCTCACCACTCCACCCTGCAAACCACAGTGTATCTCAGAGGTGGGATCAAGAGAGGGCTATGTACTGGTTTGGCTCAGGATGCTGCAGCAGGGAGGGGTGCAGCCAGCAGTGGTCATCAGGAACCTTCTGGAACATCTGGCGCCTCCTAGGAGGGAGGGGAAGGGGCGGGGCCTCCTTCTCAACTAGTCACAGCACTGGACCTGGAACCCTTGGCATTTCTGCCTGTGATGGGCCTCCATGTCCCAGTCTGCCCGACCTGGGGTGGCCTCCAGCCTGGTAAGCTCCACTAAGTGGAAAGGGCCCCGTGCACCCTGCCATGTCCTTGGCCAATACCCCCATGGCGCTGGTCGCCGGAGCCAACAAGGGCATTGGCCTTGCCGTCGTGCATGACCTGTGTTGGCAGTTCCTGACATGCTACCTGACGCGCTGTCTCCTGGGCTGCAGTCCTCGTTTTGCCCCAATTAATACTTAACTCGCAACTCTCTCATTGTGCATCTTTTTTAGTTGACAGTTTCAAACACATCTTTATTCATCAAAATAGGAACCATTACAATGAATACATTTTTGCCAATGAGAAATAAGTTGTTTATTCCTGTAGCACAATTCCATGCTTCAGGATTCAGTGAACTCTCGGAAAGCATTTTCTGCCTCTTCCGGTTGTGGAAGCGTTTCCTCTGTGATATTTTAGCCATGTACATGAAGTACATTAAAGTGAAAAGAAATTGGTGAAATTAGTGTTCACATATTTTATTTAACCCACCACAACCAGAACATCATCTCTGTAATATGTAATGAGGATGGAAATTAGTGAGATAATTTGCAATTTGTTGTAGTGAGTGTTAACTTTTTGTTTAGTTTCTTTCTGGTTGTGCTGTGTGTTCCTTGCTGCACAGGCTTCCTCCAGCTGCGGCACTCAGGTTTCTCGCTGCGGCGGCTTCTCTTGCCGCGGAACACAGGCTCCTGAGCACAGGCTCAGCAGCTGTAGTCCGTGGGCTTAGTTGCCCCTCAGCATGTGGGATCTTCCCGGAGCAGGGATCAAACCCATGACCCCCTCATTGGCAGGCAGATTCTCAACCACTGGACCACAAAGGAAGTCCAGCCTGGAAATTTTAAGAGTTACAGCACATCACAGTTTAGACTGTTTACATGTCAAGTGCTTGGTGACCACCAAACTAGGCAGCATGTTTTTTTTGTCTTTTGCTTTCAAAATAATGACGCAGTCTTCCCTCAAGCATGTGAAGATGTTACTCTACTAATTGTAATTCTCCTTCAGGATTCAATTTATAAGACTGACTAGTGATTGCTAGTATACAATTTTTCTTTTTTTTTTTTTTTTCAAAAGTTGAATTTTTGCCTTAAATGCACAAACTTTTAAAACATAGCTCAGTAGGTAAAGAATCTGCCTGCAATGCAGGAGATCCGAGTTCAACTCCTGGGTCGGGAAGATCCCCTGGAGAAGGGAAACGCTACCCACTCCAGTATTCTGGCCTGGAGAATTCCATCGACTATATAGTCCATGGGGTGGCAAAGAGTCGGACACGACTGAGTGACTTTCACTTTCATACACACATTGTAAACCAAAATCTCAGAAACAAAGACCTGAAATAAGGAAAGATTTATTAATATTTGGGGTTTGTTAGGACTGCATCCAGGAGATATAGATTCAAGAAGTATTTGAATTGTGTGCCACTAGACTACAAAATAGAAGGAAGCTTATGAAGGCAAAAAAAAAAAAAGTAAGGTCACAGTTACATAAGTTGTTAGCCAAGAATTATGATTGGAGCTGGCAAAAAACTGAGGGATCACCCCCGCCCCCCATTAAACAAGGATTGGTTGAGTTCTGCAATGGTTACAAAGATGCAAGTGGGAACCTGAGAAAACAAGGTTGAAGGTAGCAGGTGTTCCCTTGGATTTGATACAATTCAGAAAGATTCAGTTCTTATTGATACAGGGACATGTCTGAGTCCAGATCCTCAATGGCTGCCCAACCCCATTATGTTTGTGTGAACTATGATTATTCCATGAGGACTCAAATCTGTCATCCACACACAGACATAAAATGTATTTTTCAGGACTTCCCTGGTGGCCCAGTGGTTAAGACTTCAAGCTGCCAATGAAGGGAACATGAGTTCCATCCTTGGTTGGTGAAGTTCCACATGACATGCACCTAAAAAATGTATTTTCATATGGTCTGTGCCATATTCTTTAAGTTCATGCATGCAAATATTAAAAATATATATAAGACCAGAGTTGACCTAATCTTTACCTGATGATTGACATTGTATTATGTTGGGACTGTCAGTCTGGGGAGTCAGACGACTTTCCAACTCATAGTAGCCAGCCAGTCAAGCCAAGACGGTCCCTTGACTCTTGCCGCCTATTCAAACCTTTTGTAGTCTCCTCCCACATTAGACCAGAACTGGCCTGTGTGATCAATAGCCATGGCAGAGTAGTGGTATGTAATTTATGAAACTAGGTCATAAAAAACTCTATTTACCTTCTGTCTTTCTCACCGTCCCCTGGATCACCCACTCTGGAGGAAGCCAGCAGCTACATCTTGAGGATGCCCTAAGAGCCTACAGAAAGGTCCACTTAGCTAAGAACTGAAGCCTCCAACCAAGAGCCACATGAGCCAATAACCTTGGAAGGGATCCTCCAGCTGCCATCAAGCCTTTAGAAG